CAGGGATTACATTTTACTATGATCTGATTTTTTTTTTTAACCCCTGAGGGTTAATTCTTTTTTTTTTTAACCCTCAGGGGTTAAATTAATTAAATTAATTAATTAAATTATTTTTAAATTATATATTTAGATAGCTGGGGTAGGTGGAAGTTAGTGGGGAATTGGGGGATTTGACGTTAGGCTAACTAGGGGTTAACGTTAAAAAAAAGTTTTAAAAGAAACTTTAAAAAGTTAAAAATTAAGCTTAAAAAAATGTTTTAATAACATTTAAGTAATAAAAACAAAAAAACACACTTTACCTAGTCCAAATAAAATTAACCCCTTCCCTGCCAGTCGATCACTGCCTACAGCGATCAAATAGAGATCACAGTATTATACTGTGATCTAATTTTTTTTAACCCCTGAGGATTAACTTTTATTTATTTTTTTTAACCCTCAGAGGTTCAATTTATTTAATTAATTAATTTAAATATTTAATAACTATATATTTTGCTAGCTGGGGTGGGTGGGAGTTATGGGAAAATGGGGAATTTATTGTTAGTGCTGCGTACTGCTAGTTAGGGGTTAACAGTAAAAAAAATAGCTTAGAAAAATGTTAAATCTGTAAAAAAGTTTTAAGAAAGTTTAGGAAAGTTTAAAAAAAATTTATAAGCAAAACAAAAGTTTAAAAACTAGTTTTTAAAAGTAAAAAAGTTATAAAAAGTAAAAAAATACATTTTAAAAACGCTCATTACCACTACACCTGGAACAAACTAGAGAAAAAATTATCCCACGCCAAGGTTCAAAATATGCCTTTTGAATTACCCCAGGGTGTATTCTTTAATAAATAGTATGTGTTTGTGGGGAAGTTTCAATAACCAACCGTCTAAACTACTCCAAATTGGAACATGGACACAGCGTAAAACTTCAAAGTTAGAAAAAAACTGAATGGCTGCGTCTCAAATGCGCCCCTTCAACATCCACATATACCTGGCAAAGGTACATACGGGGGTATTGCTGTACTCAGCCGACATAGCTGAGCAACATATGAAGTATTATACAGTCATAGCACACATAAGGTTTGCAAAATATGCTGCGCAAACTCACTTTGTATGTCAAAAAGGCAGAAAAAATGCTTATTACCACTACACTTGGTACAAGCTAGCGGAAAAATGATCCCACACTAAGGTTCAAAATATGCCTTTTGAAATACCCTGGGATGTCTTCTTTAAGAAATGGTATGGCTTTATGGGGAATTTGGATTATATAGCCTGGTAAAATACTCTAAAATGGGACATAGGCACAGCATAAAAATTCAAAGTTTGAAAAAAACTGGAATGGCTGTGTCCCAAATGTGCCCCTCCGATGTCCACACATACCTGGCAAAGGTACATACGGGGGTATTGCTGTACTCAGCCGACATAGCTGAGCAACATATGAAGTATTATACAGTCGTAGCACACATAAGGTTTGCAAAATATACTGTGCAAACTCACTTTGTATGTCAAAAAGGCAGAAAAAATGCTTATTACCACTACACTTGGTACAAGCTAGCGGAAAAATGATCCCACGCTGAGGTTCAAAATATGCCTTTTTGAAATACCCTGGGATGTCTTCTTTAAGAAATGGTATGGCTTTATGGGGAATTTGGATTATATAGCCTGGTAAAATACTCTAAAATGGGACATAGGCACAGCATAAAAATTCAAAGTTTGAAAAAAAATGGAATGGCTGTGTCCCAAATGTGCCCCTCCGATGTCCACACATACCTGGCAAAGGTACATACGGGGGTATTGCTGTACTCAGCCGACATAGCTGAGCAACATATGAAGTATTATACAGTCGTAGCACACATAAGGTTTGCAAAATATACTGTGCAAACTCACTTTGTATGTCAAAAAGGCAGAAAAAACGCTTATTACCACTACATCTGGTACAAGCTAGCGGAAAAATGATCCCACGCTAAGGTTCAAACTATACCTTTTGAAACACCCTGGGGTGTCTACTTTAAGAAATGGTAGGCCTTTGTGGGGTAGATTGAATTTAAAACCTGCGAAGATGCTTGGAAATTGCACATAGGCCCAGCGTCAAAATTCAAAGTTTGGTAAAAACGGATATGGCTTGGTCTCCTATATGGCACTGTAGCTTCACAAAATAGTGACAAAGACATTCATTGGGGTGTATTTTTACTCAAAAGACTTAGCTGAGCATAATTTGGGAGGTTTGAACTTAGTGGCACATATGAAATATACAAAACGCCCAGCAAAAATGCAATCCGTATGTAAAAAATGCACAAAATAATTTTTTACCACATACTTTGGCATATATTGGTGAAAAAATGGGGGTATGTTAAGGCACAATATGCACCTTATGAGATACCCTGGAGTGTCTACTTTTACAAATGGTAGGCCTTTGTGGGGGTTTTTTGAACAGTCAAACTGTTATAATACCCCAAATGGAAGCTAAGGCTCATTAAATCCATCTCTCAAAATTCTACTGTGAATACTGTAAAGGACAGGTCTCCTATATGGCACTGTAGCTTCACGAAATAGTGCCAAAGACATTCATATGGGGTGTCATTTTACTCAGAAGACTTAGCTGAGCATAATTTGGGGGTTTGAACTTAGTGGCACATATGAAATATACAAAACGCCCAGCAAAAATGCAATCCGTATGTAAAAAATGCACAAAATAATTTTTTACCACATACTTTGGCATATATTGGTGAAAAAATGGGGGCATGTTAAGGCACAATATGCACCTTATAAGATACCCTGGAGTGTCTACTTTTACAAATGGTAGGCCTTTGTGGGGGTTTTTTGAACAGTCAAACTGTTATAATACCCCAAATGGAAGCTAAGGCTCATTAAATTCATCTCTCAAAATTCTACTGTGAATACTGAAAAGGACAGGTATCCTGTATTACACTGTAACTTCACGAAATAGTGCAAAAGACATACAATGGGGGTGTCATTTTACTCAGCAGATGTAACTGAACACAAAATAAAACTTTGTACAGGAATAGCACACACCAACTTTACAAAATATACACGAGAATTTCTCTGTTATAAGTTTGTGTGCCAAAAACCAAAAAGAACACAATTTTACTCCAATATTTAGCAGAGGTTGGCGGTGAAATGGCTTGTAAAAAATGTAGATGAATGGATGTTCATGTGGACTCTTTCTTAATTTCTTCTTGTCTTCAGTTGATTGATATATATACGTCTTTTGTATATATATTCTTGGGCCAAATGCTTGCCACAATAATATATGTCTATATTATTGAAAAGTAGTAATACGCAATCTGACTTACGGTTTCTTCAGGTTTATTCTTAGTTACGGATACATAAAACAACAAATGATGTTACAGGATTATGGACATTCAACAGCAGATGGTAATTGCTGGACTTCTGATGGGAGAGTTACATCGTTGTACAGAGCCAAGAGCCAAGCCAAGACTGAGAGCGACCTCGTGTCCCTCTGTTACTATATAGATGTGCTAATACTAACGTCAGCATATAACTCTAGCCATATAAGGAAAAGACCCCCACACCCACATTCCAGAGCTCTCGGACAAAGAAAGCATTGTGACTTATTTATACCATCTGTTACTTATGTCAATCCACACATCCATATATAATCAATAGAAACATAGAAAGTGTCAAAACAACCTTAGGTAAATAGCCCGTGATGTCTACTTTATATAAATATATACTTTTGTGTGGCAATTTTGTTTTCTTTTATGGCTATTAAGCTTACAAGACAAACATACCAAATTCTAAAATCGCTCCACGTTAAAATTTTATTTTACTCCTTGTGCTTTGTGACCTGTAACTACCAAAAAAAACTTAAAATCCCAGACACATTATATATTCTGTAAATCAGAACAAATAAATTAATTTATTTTTAATTACTTTCCTTAACCTGCACTAATTATGCACACATTATTATTGCAAAAACTGTAAAAAAAAATATTATTTTTTTTGCATTTTTCTGTATTTTTTTTATAATAAGTAAGCATTTATATATATATATGTTATATCAAATTAAAGCCCTTTCTGTCCTTTAAAAAACAGTATATAATATGTGTCGGTGCAATAAATGAGAGAGATGCAAATTGCAGTTGAACGCAAACAGCAAGAAAATGCAAAAATTGCTTGTGTCATTAAGCGTAAGTCAAGCTTCTGAAGCTGTGTCCTTAAGGGGTTAAGGAGTTAAATAGCATTTTATTGTTGTGTTTGTAAAATGTAGTATTATTGATCTCAGTAATGAGGGTGATGCCCCTTACATTCAAAACTACTCTCCGTGTCATAGAACATGATTAGATTCTACACCTCTCCTGCATAGAGAACCTTCCAAATACTGGGCCAGCTTTATCAAAGTGTCACCAAAACATTTACATCACATTTTTGGCACATTTTTAGTGCAATTTATGAAAATCTCAAATTAATTTATTTGTTTTAGATCAGTTTTCTTTTGCATTCGAAGTGACATTTTTGAATGTACACCATATTTTCGGTACACCATATTTTCGGTACACCATATTAGTTAAGGGCATCGCAACATGAATAATATTTTCATTCAATAAACTTGGGCAAAAAAGCAATGACTCCAATCACTATTATACACTAAAAAGGAAACCATTGACCATCATACAATGGCGTTCCCATGTGGACACACAATACAGGAAATATGATATCACTTGGTTTAATGTGCGGACAGGTGATGTGTAGCAGCAAAACCAGGTTCCCATAGATTGGTTGGGTCAATCTCAATGTTTCAAAAATGATAACAATTAATAATTTATAAACCCATGTAAGTCACTTGTCATTGGGCAGACTAGATGGGCCGAATGGTTCTTATCTGCCGTCACATTCTATGTTCTATTAGCTTCATCTGTGTTTTATTCAGCTCCAGGTGAATCCAGACAAATCCTAGAGAGATGGACCATTTGGGAGCACAGTAGAGTAGAGGTAACTGGTCATAGTGAAGTTGACTCACAGTAGAAGAGAGGTAACTGGTCATAGTGAAGTCATCTCAGATTGTTCCTTAATGATTTTCTCATATTCTATCCTGGTTTCTGCAATAAGGAAAAGATCACTAGAATATATTCTGATACTTGGCTGGTTGTGCAGGATCCTGTTCCTTTCCTGGGGGCTGCTATCTTCCAGGTCATCGATGACCACCAGGACATTGTCCTTCCCTGCACAGAATACAGAGATACATAATGTCAGCGTTCATTATTTATAGATAATTTTTATAATTTGATTTATATCTACACTGTGACTTTCTTACCAAGATTATCAGACATTAATTTCAGTTCTTCATCATACAGAGAATCCATCACGTCGGTGATATTTATTCCACCTCTGTTCTTAGTGTGATACAATATTCCAAACTTGCACTCTGAAACATCTTCCATAAACTGTGCCATTCCATTGTTGGAAATATAAAAGGACCGAACGTGTGGAGCCTGACCTCTGAACCCCTCAGATTGGAGCAATGTCTGAAGCCATTCGTAATCACTCTCAGCCGATCTGGAGAATATCCCGAGAGTCCAGGATGAAGGTGTCTTCTGTCCCTGTTACAAACAAACAGATAAAACAGTCAGCACACAATATGGTAAATTTAAATAGAATTCTCATTTTCTGCATCTTTGTATGTTTATTTCCATATTATCTGAAATCTTTTACAATAAAACACATGAGATTTTAAAAGACGTGCATGATCTGTGCGTGAGATTATCTTAAGAAAATAACCAGAAATGGGGAGAATTAAAACGTTCCCTAGTAGAGAAATGGTGAATATTTTAGTTTAGAAAATTCCTAAATAAGTGAACATGTCGAGGGTATAAAGCAGTGACCTTGTTCAGCTTCTAAACAGAGCAAACTCAGCCAATCACATTGCCTTGAAACTATGATGAAGAAATTTAAATTGCACTCACACAGTGCAAGGATCTAATTTGTTTTGTAGCAGCTGTGAAAAAGGGTTCTGGGCTGCCAAACTCACAGGTGTCGGGGGTTTAGCTAGCCCTCCAGCACACAATTGTAAATATCTCTATATGTGCAGCATCTCCAGCAGAAACACTGCACATACAGATGCCTACCACCATAAGCACTTCTAAAAGCATAAATAATAAATTTGGATGTATTTAGAGAGACTGCTCTGTGGGTATAATCAAAACAATTATTCACAAAGCCCTGAACCACACCTCCCAACATTTCAATTGGACAGAGAGCGACACTTTACTTTTAGGGGTGTACATGGGGGTGTGGCAGGAGGCGAGGTGTTCTGGGACATTTTAGGTGACTTATTTATACTTTTTACAGCTAAACTTTAATGTAGAAGAACAATGTATGTTATTTCCACAGACTGATTCACATTTATTGTAGTTTAAAGACCCATTACTGGGAGTATTATTGCTGTGGAGCTCTGTTATACACTCAGACACATTACTGGGAGTATTATTGCTGTGGAGCTCTGTTATACACTCAGACACATTACTGGGAGTATTATTGCTGTGGAGCTCTGTTATACACTCAGACACATTACTGGGAGTATTATTGCTGTGGAGCTCTGTTATACACTCAGACACATTACTGGGAGTATTATTGCTGTGGAGCTCTGTTATACACTCAGACACATTACTGGGAGTATTATTGCTGTGGAGCTCTGTTATACACTCAGACACATTACTGGGATTATTACTGTGGAGCTCTGTTATACACTGAGACACATTACTGGGAGTATTATTGCTGTGGAGCTCTGTTATACACAGACACATCTGGGAGTATTATTGCTGTGGAGCTCTGTTATACACTCAGACACATTACTGGGAGTATTATTGCTGTGGAGCTCTGTTATACACTCAGACACATTACTGGGAGTATTATTGCTGTGGAGCTCTGTTATACACTCAGACACATTACTGGGAGTATTATTGCTGTGGAGCTCTGTTATACACTCAGACACATTACTGGCAGTATTATTGCTGTGGAGCTCTGTTATACACTCAGACACATTACTGGGAGTATTATTGCTGTGGAGCTCTGTTATACTCAGACACATTACTGGGAGTATTATTGCTGTGGACATTCTGGGAGTATTATTGCTGTGGAGCTCTGTTATACACTCAGACACATTACTGGGAGTATTATTGCTGTGGAGCTCTGTTATACACTCAGACACATTACTGGGAGTATTATTGCTGTGGAGCTCTGTTATACACTCAGACACATTACTGGGAGTATTATTGCTGTGGAGCTCTGTTATACACTCAGACACATTACTGGGAGTATTATTGCTGTGGAGCTCTGTTATACACTCAGACACGTTACTGGGAGTATTATTGCTGTGGAGCTCTGTTATACACTCAGACACATTACTGGGAGTATTATTGCTGTGGAGCTCTGTTATACACTCAGACACATTACTGGGAGTATTATTGCTGTGGAGCTCTGTTATACACTCAGACACATTACTGGGAGTATTATTGCTGTGGAGCTCTGTTATACACTCAGACACATTACTGGGAGTATTATTGCTGTGGAGCTCTGTTATACACTCAGACACATTACTGGGAGTATTATTGCTGTGGAGCTCTGTTATACTCTCAGACACATTACTGGGAGTATTATTACTGTGGAGCTCTGTTATTCACTCAGCCACATTACTGGGAGTATTATTGCTGTGGAGCTCTGTTATACACTCAGACCCATTACTGGGAGTATTATTGCTGTGGAGCTCTGTTATACACTCAGACACATTACTGGGAGTATTATTGCTGTGGAGCTCTGTTATACACTCAGACCCATTACTGGGAGTATTATTGCTGTGGAGCTCTGTTATACATACAAAATATAACATGTGGAGAGACACTTAGTATAATTACCACCACAATTAAGGGTGCTATTCCAACAAGGTACTCCCTCCAATACCAATAAACTAAATATTCAAAAAGAAAAGGAATGCACACCAACTGATACAATAGAATCTATCTATTTTATTGCAATACAAATCCAAATCATGCATGCAAAAAATGCAACAATATAACAGTGACCAAATAGGCAAAAAAAGGCTCCTTAAAGGCTACCAGGAGGAGCCGAAACGTTGGGGGACTGTTTGTGACTCGTGTTTCTGCCCATATAGGCTTGTGAGATTTGGTAATTATATGGTTTAGCCTTTTTTTGCCTATTTGGTCACTGTTATATTGTTGCATTTTTTGTATGTAATATTTGCATTGTATTATAATAAATATATTTAGATAGATACTATTGTATCAGTTGGTGTGCATTCCTTTCTTTTTGAGCTCTGTTATACACTCAGACACACCAGCTTTTAGAAAAGAAGGACATTATGAGAGAAAAGAGGGCCCAAAATAGGGACTGTACCTCATAAAGAGGGACACATTGAAGGTTTGTTAAAGTGCAAAAACATTATTATTAGAATTTATTTATTTTTACGAGTCATGCTCCCAATTGCCACATATCCCCCTCTGTAATGTCTGACTTTTAACTGAATCCCAGGGTTAGGAGCCTCAAGAAGGAACCAACTAGCACAGTAATTTATCTTAAATAATGTCCTAAACCATGGGTCATCAACCTAGTCCCTACCGCCCACTTGTGGGTGTTTCAGGATTCCAGGTGGGCGGTAGGGATTTCGGCGGCTAAACAAAGGAGGAGCAGAATAGAAGAAAGAAGGAGCAGAGTATTTGTAGAATAGGAGAAAGGAGGAGCAGAGTACTTGTAGAATGGGAGAAAGGAGGAGCAGAGTATTTGTAGAATAGAAGAAAGAAGGAGCAGAGTATTTGTAGAATAGAAGAAAGAAGGAGCAGAGTACTTGTAGAATAGAAGAAAGAAGGAGCGGAGTACTTGTAGAATAGAAGAAAGAAGGAGCAGAGTACTTGTAGAATAGGAGAAAGGAGGAGCAGAGTATTTGTAGAATGGGAGAAAGAAGGAGCAGAGTATTTGTAGAATAGAAGAAAGAAGGAGCAGAGTATTTGTAGAATAGGAGAAGAATGAGCAGAGTGCTTGAAAAAAAGGAGAAAGAAGGAAAATAAAAAGGAAAAGGAGAGAATTGTTGTTGACTAATAATGGTAAGTGGGCTGCGTAGCTCAGCCTTCCTGCTGGGCATTGCTAAAAGGAAGGTTAAAAAAATAGAAAAAAGGGAAAAAAAGGTGGGGAGGGGAATTGAGGAAGGAGAGGAGATGAGCTGACGCACAGATGAGAAATCATATTATGCGCAAACAGAAAAGTCGTCTGAATGTCACCGAAAGTGGAGACCTTCGTTTGTTCCTTACGAAAATCGAACCAGATATCAAATATTTAGTCTCGGAGCATCAACCTCAAGGATCTCATTAATTACTAGTAAAGGTAATTTCAATTTACTTTGTTTTCTCATTAAACTTTATAAAGCTAAAAACATAAACATGCATTAAGTAGAAATAAAAAGATAAATGGACGTACATTTATTTTTTTTAAAAACCCTCCTTTCTAAAAAGTATTCCGCTCTTGCGTGAAAACTGGTGGGTGGTAAGGATATTTTTCCATCAAGAAAGATGCATTAGTGGGCGGTAGGTAGAAAAAGTTTGACTACCCCTGTCTTAAACAGTTCTAAGTTACTCTCAAAATAAGGCTTTGATTTAACCCTTTAACAAACTGGTCAGACATTTTCCACCATGGCAACTTTACCCTTAAGGATACATGACGAGACATTTCCATCATTGACTAAAATTAACCAGATCACTGTGGTTGCAGCGATCATGAAGTTAATGCTGCTTCAGTCTGCCTCAATTTCCGAGGCAGGGCGGCAGCAGCTAATCACACTCTCCCAGCACATGTAACCACTGGGATTGCCAGTCACAGCGATCATGTGCTGGGACCTCTGATCCACTTCCCTCCACCTCCGTAGAAGCAGTGACGTGGAGGGAAACCAATCAGAGTAGATCTACTTCTTCCTGCAAAAGAAAAAGTGCTTATTTAAAATCCCACCCTTTTTACCCTGTTCTAATGAAAATTAACAATTTCCCTGACAATTGATCACTGCATTTTTAACCCTTAAGGGTTTATTTTTATTGGGTTTTTTTAACCCTCATGGATTGAATTGAATTATTATTGTAATATTTTTTCAATTATTTATTTATTTAGCTGAAGTGGGTGGAAGTTAATTGGAAATTGGGGAATTTATTTTGTGTAAGGCTAGTTAGGGGTTAGCTGTAATAAAAATGTAAAAAAAAAAAAGGTTCAATATCAAGTTTTAAAAAGAAAAAAAGTAAAAATACTTATTCCCACTATACCTGTTACAAAAAAAGATCCCATTCTAAGGTTTGTGGCTTTGTGGGGTAGTTTGAATTAGCAACCTTCTAAAATGCTCCAGAATGGGACATGGACCCAGCATCAAAATTCAAAGTTTGAAAAACCCTGAAATGACCGTGTCTTCAACATCCTGAATCCGAGGAGTTTACCAAGGGAGTTCATCAAGAAGTACACAAGGAGGAAAACAGCAGACAATCCTGCAATTAACATCTTCATTATCATCCACACACTGTTGTGCTTGCTGCATTTATGTTTGTATTCTGTAACTAGCTATATGTGTAGTGTAGGTACTACTTCCTCATCATATATTTGCATTATTGTAACCTACTTAATGTTTGTTTTTATCTCCTCCCCTCCTGTACATGGCTCCAAATATGGCCGTGTTAATATTCCTTGTAACACTGTTCACACTCTTGTCATGTTCCTACCAATACCCTCTTAAGCAACACTCAACACAAACTGAAAACCAAGTTCTTATACTTTATGACCTGCTTTGTTGCTGTAATTTATCTGCCCTCCCACCCCACCAAAGTATAAATCCTACAATTACAATACTACCAAACTGAGATTATGTCCACATTCCTATTACTCATGTTACTTGCACTTGCAAATGAAGTAGAGTCTAACCCTGGTCCCCCAACAGATTCCAGATTCCAGCTAAAAAAGGCCTTTCTTTTGTGCACTGTAATATTCGCAGCTTCCTACCAAAGATCGATGCACTGCAAGCATGGTGTTCACATTACAAGCCCAAAATCATTGTGCTTTCTGAATCGTGGCTAACCGCAAAAATTCCTCATTCTGCCATTGCAATAAATGGGTATTCATGCCATAGAAATGACAGAGCAAAAAGAGGAAGTGGTATTGTTATTTATATTGACAATTCCGTAAAGTTTACTCCCTTACAAGACTTTAGCCCTCCTGCCACCTTTGATTTCCTTTCTGGCACAATTAAGATCCCGTGCAGTAAATCAATCATTGTTGAAGGAATCTACCGCCCACCTAGCTCCCCAGTGCATTCCCTTTCTGACATAGCCCATCTCCTTAGTGAAACCATAGCTCAAACCCCAAAAAGTGAACTGTTGGTCTTTGGATATTTTAATATTGATCGGCTGAACCCTAAAAATAATAGTTCTTGCACACTGTTTAGGACTTTGCAGCTAACGCAATTAATCTCCTCCCCAATTCGCATAAACATTAAAAGCTATAACCATACCCTGCTCGATTGGATTCTCTCCACTTCTCCTGATAGAATCCAGGAGGTTGGTGTTGTCAGGGTATTTATATCGGCAGACATTTTGTGCTATGATAGAAACTAAAAGTGTATATTCTGAGTCACTCTGAACAGACCAGACTCTATTTTGTTATTTTCAAGTTAACAAAAAGACACTAGATTTCTTTCTGTAAGACTAGCCACTTTGCCAGAGCTAAGGAATGCATAGTATAAACAAGTGATAAGAAGAATATAATCAATTCTAAACCCAGACAATTGTGACAGAGAAGATTAAATAATAAAATTTAACTGTCTATATATATATAAGGTACCATTGTATGGAAAAGGGTAAACTTAGTTCATGATCTGCTATATTAGACAAAACTCAGATTGCTAGACACATAGTCTGGACAAAATTTAAGAAACCCTTTGATCTGTGAAGGATACATAAGTTATAGTGGTCATTTGAGATAAGCAAAATGACGTCAAAATAGCCACTAGGAAAAGTTAACTCTTTCCTGGATAGGTATGTTTAGTGGGACAAGACTGCCCTCTATAGATCAAATAACTAAATTGCGATCTGGAAGATAACCACACCTCTAGTGCTTCTATTGGGTTATCAACTGATGACGTACAGAGAGTCTGGCCCTTTAAAAGTTAAGACAAAGGGAAGATAGAGATATGCAGGGTAGGCAGGAAGGCAAAGGAGAAGGAAAAAGAGGAGAGAGAGGAATTGGAAGTTTGGGGGACTCCAACTCGGACAACATCTGAGACTAACACTCTACTCTGAAAACTCTAACACTTAGAATTTCACTGACCTTCTAACCAACACCACCTTTCACTATTACCTACACACCTCCATGCAGAGAGACATCCAAATAAGTTCCTGAGACTATCTACCAATCGGATGAAATATCTACTCAACTGGTAATTATACTGGTTTCATTTAATTAATTAAATTAATTAAAATGTATTAATAGCATTATATATGACTGGATAAAGCACGGTGAGATTTCCATATTAAGAAATCTTAGTTAACTAAAAAAATATATATAGTTATAAACATTCCATTCTGCAGGTGGAATTAAGAATAATTATATATTGATGTGATATTATCATGTGTTAGCATACCGCTGTTTTTATCCAGGTGTATTGATTTGCCCTAATATGAGATAAGATATCTTTTAGACAAATTAAAATCTGCTTATATAATCATGGTAGATTCTCTTATTGGATGGTTCCAGGAAATGACTAATGAACTGGTTTAAATGTTATTTTATTTAAAATTACATAAGAATAGATCTTGATTACCTAGGAGATTTAGCCAGCATTGAAAGGGTTATTCTGTCAGCTAAACTTTACGACCTTACGCTGCACTCTGAAGAATTCTGTTCTTCACTGTGAAAAGCTTCACTTTCAGTCTGTGTTAAAGATAGTCATAAATAAAGTCTTGACAGAAAATGCTTTTTAGCCATTGAAACGTAATACCCATTCCTTTGTATTGCATATCATTTTATACTGGATATTCATTGATTATTATCACGCATGTTACATATTATTATTAATTAACTTGTCATTATAAATAAATCTATTTTTATAACAAATCGTGAATATTATTTATATGATATACTTCTCACTTAACACGATAAACGTTCTTTGGGATCTGAGAATTGAATTAGTGGGCAATTTTCACTGTTACTATTATTATCCCATAAATATCCCCACAGTGTTCTCCCAAACAGTTTCAGTGATCACTGTTTAGTGTACTGCGTGCGCAAAATAAAGGCTATTAAATCCTCTCCCAAGGTTAAAATCACCAGGTCCTTCAAAAAATGTAATCTTGAATCCTTTTTAAATGACATCAAGAATCTCTCATGGCACAGATTAAACATTATCCCAGATCTAGACTGTGCTGTTGAATTCTTTCAGTCTGAACTCCTACAAGATTGGAATTTGCATGCCCAGCTGCATAAGGTGAGGGTAAAAGGAGCACATATGAACTGGATGTACCAGTTTTGGGATTCTTTGTGGTCAAAATTCAAGCGAACTGGCTCTATGAATGATCACTGTGCACATAGACATTGGCGAAATATATGCACAAAACAAACAAAACTGGCCAAGGCCCAATATTTCTATGAAAATCTGAACAGTAACATCTTAAACCCTAGAAACTTTTGGAAAGTCATAAATAAACTACAAACTCCCCCAATGCACTCCCAACCCTCCACTGTCAAAGTGGATAACCAAACCCTGCAACTTCCCTTAGATGTAGCAAATGCCTTTAACAATTATTTTGTTGGATGCTCCACTGCCCTGATTGCCAAGCTAATAAATGACACACATCCTAAAAACTACAAATTGTGGCTCAGGCCCCACTAAATTTGCAAAGGCGAAATATAGACAAATTCATTTTTAGACCTGTACCTATTAGTGTCATTAAGAAACACCTTAAACTAAAAATGAAAAACCAGTCTAGACCTGCTCAAATCCCAGCAATGCTGTTGAATCTCGGTGCGCCAGCAATTGCTAAACCCGTCGCAACTCTAATTAACGAATCCTTGGTGTCTGGATACATACCCAAACTTTGGAAGACTGCGAGAGTAGTGCCTATCCATAAAAGTGGTGAGACTACTTTGGTTTCTAACTATCGCCCAATTTCATTGCTCCCGGTATTGTCAAAAATCTTAGAAAAATATGTCCATACGCAACTTTGTGAGTACTACCAACAATCTAACCCCTGATCAATCGGGTTTTCCCTGAATCACTCCACTACAACTGCCCTCTTAAAAGTTTGCAATGACATCCAAACTGGCATGGAACAAGGAGACCTAACTGGAGCTATTTTCCTTGATTTTGCCAAGGCCTTTGACACAGTAGACCACGACATTCTACTGCACAAACTCGAAAACTCAGGTATTGGTGATTGCTCCCTAACCTGGGTTCGATCATATGTATCGGATCGCTCGCAATATGTGTCCATTTCTGACAGCAACTCCCTCCCTCTCCCAGTCTCCCCAGGGTTCCATTCTTGGCCCCCTACTATTTACATTATTTATAAATAATCTGCCTAATGTCTGCATATCCTCAAATGTACACATGTACGCAGATGACACAGTATTCTATGCAAGCAAATCTGATCTACCGCAGCCTGAGGCTGTGCTCTACGACCAGTTCACAGAGGTAGAAAAGTGGATCTCAAAAAACAAACTCTTCCTAAACACTGACAAAACTGTCACAATGATCTTTGGAACAGTACCTAAATTACAGGATTCCCACCTATCCATCAAAACAAATTCAAAAGGCTCACTGACCGCAGTCCACTCTTTCAAATACTTGGGTATGTTGTTAGACCCCAATCTATCTTTTGGCCTCCACATGGAAAAACTTGCATCTAAACTTTATCCAAAATTAGGTGCCCTGTACAGAAACAAATCCTGCCTAAGCCCTACAGTAAAGGAAAATATTGTACAGCAAATGCTGATGCTAATCATTGATTATGGGGATGTAGTATATGCATCTGCACCGCAATCACTCATTAATAAACGCAATACATTGTATAACTCGTTCTGCCGATTAGAAACATAGAATGTGACGGCAGATAAGAACCATTCAGCTCATTTAGTCTGCCCAATTTTCTAAATACTTTCATTAGTCCCTAGTCTTATCTTATAGTTAGGATAGCCTTATGCCTATCCCACGCATGCTTAAACTCCTTCACTGTGTTAACCTCTACCACTTCAGCTGGAAGGCTATTCCATGCATCCACTACCCTCTCAGTAAAGTAATACTTCCTGATATTATTTTTAAACCTTTGCCCCTGTAATTTAAGACTATGTCCTCTTGTTTTGGTAGTTTTTTTTCTTTTAAATATAGTCTCCTCCTTTACTGTGTTGATTCCCTTTATGTATTTAAATGTTTCTATCATATCCCCCCGTCTCGTCTTTCCTCCAAGCTATACATGTTAAGATCCTTTAACCTTTCCTGGTAAGTTTTATCCCGCAATCCATGAACCAGTTTAGCAGCCCTTCTCTGAACTCTCTCTAAAGTATCAATATCCTTCTGAAGATACGTTCTCCAGTACTGTGTACAATACTCCAAGTGAGGTCTCACCAGTGTTCTGTACAATGGCATGAGCACTTCCCTCTTTCTACTGCTAATAATTTGTACTACAATGTAATTACAGGACCCACCATTGTGACATGCTAAAAGAACTAAACTGGTTGTCGCTGGAATCCAGACGCACCCTTCATCTTTCCAGACTTGTGTTTAAGAGCTTTTCTGGGAAGCTCCCACCCTAGCTGAGCAGAATGCTCTCCCCGGCTTTATTTAGTCTACCTCATTAATAAAATAAAGTGGGGCGATCCTCCTTTTACTACAGAGCACTGAAATTATGGAATGACCTCCCACACACTTTCAAATCTTCCCCAAGCGAAACTATATATGAACAATATGGTAGCACACTTAATTAAATGTGATAATTTTACAATGTCAAGACCAGTTTGGTTAGATATTGAAAAATCGGATCTCTGTAATATTGAACCTTTACTTCTCTGGTGGTGTGACAGTGAATTTGTAAAAAATATGAGGCCTAGTAACCCGATGAATAACACAATGATCTATATTGTAAAATACTTAAAGAAAAAATATGGAACTAAACATATATCAAGAAACGCCCCATTAATATGTTTAAAACTTTATATAAAAATATAAATATTCAAGAATGGGAAAAGTGTGGAATTGCAAAAATTGCGGAACTTCTAAATGATAATAAAATATTGCCATTTGCAACGTTACAGTTTAATTATAACCTCCCTTCGAAGGAAATATTTAACTACTTAAGAATAAAATCTTTTATTATGGGAAACGTTTTTTCGGAAACTTCTCCATTTGACCAGTTTGTAGCATTCCATTACAAAAAAAAATCGCATCCAGATTTAATCAATTTACAAGAAGCCAAAGGCAAATAGTTAAAGTGTTGGCAATGAATAAATGGGAGCAGGAACTCCACTTTTCATCCTCGGTTGAAGATTGGATTTTGGGCCTACAATCAGTAAAAAGATATATACATGGGGTGAATATACAGGAAGTGTACTTTAAACTGGTATATCGTTGGTACCTGGTGCCCACTCGCCTCCATAGATTTCAACCCACACTTCTACCAGATTGTTGGAGATGTGGTAGGGAGTTAGGTTCATTCTCCCACATCTGGTGGGACTGTGAGGAGTTGAAATCTATGAAAATAACTTTATCGGACTTGGTGGATTCCATTTTGAAGGTCCAAACTGTTATAACGGCTCAAATGTTCCTGTTCCATTTAGATTTGCCAAAAGTTAATATAAAACAAAAAATTCTTATGATTCATTCCTTTTTGGCAATACAAATAGTTATGGACAGAAATTGGAGAAATATGGGTTTGTTAAACTGGCATGATATATGTATACAAATAGATTATCAATGTAGGATGGAAGCTGGGTTAGCCTCAAATAAGTTATCCAGAGAGAAATATGATGAAATTTGGGCCCCCTGGGTTAGATATCTTAGCTGTAAAAACTCAACTCCCCTCCCACAGATAGCCACTCTTAGGTAGCACCAATGTGAAATGATTGTAAGAAAGAGGAATTGTATGTTATTTTCTCTTCTTTTTGGTTTGATTGTAGATAATGTAGATAATGTTCAAGTGTATGAAATATGGTTATACTAAATATATGTATAATTACATAATTTATTGCAAAGTAATATATTGCACCATATTGTAAAATCTATTCATGAAAATGCATTTGGACGAAATTTTTAAAATGAAAAATAAAAATTTATATGTATAAAAAAAAATCTTCCCTAAGCCTAAAGTCCTTTAAGAGATCCCTCTCTACATACCTCAAAACAGATTGCACCTGTCATGGTTGATTATATATTTCCTACCTGTTCCATGTTAAATGTTGTATATATTGTGTATTAATATTGTTTTTGTATTTTATTGTACCCTAATGTAACAATGCAAGGATTTGTGGACCCAGGACATACTTGAAAACGAGAGAAATCTCAATGTATCTTTCCTGGTAAAATATTTTATAAATAAAGAATATCTGTGAAAAAGGTACATACGGGGGTATTGCTGAACTCAAACGACATAGCTGAGCAACATCTGAAGTATTATAGTGCCATAGCAAACATAAGGTTTGCAAAATATACCTTAAAATCTCACGGTGTGTGTCAAAAAGGAAGAAAAATGCTTAGTACCACTACATTTGGTACAAATTAGCGAAAAAATTATCCCATGCTTAAGTTCAGAACATGCCTGTGATGGTAGTCACCCCCTCTGGGGATAGAAGGCAGACACTGTATGTGGGTACCCATATTTCTTTTGTGTTTAGGAGACCCTGTGCCCATTATTGGTGCTGGGTGTAGTCCACATACTGTCTGGGTATGTTGAATGTATTGCTTGTCTGTGCCTCTCCCCCTCCCCCTTTTTCCTGTCCCATTGTTTCCCCAGCAAGGCGTTGTCCCAGGGACACTGCCAGACCTGTTTAAACTAGCTGCCCTGTCCCTCCTCAATCTGCCATCAGCTCTTGCTATTGTCTGACCCATCCTTCCTTATACTTTAGTGCTTTATGCACCCTATTGTATGTAAATGAGACTGTTGGGGGTATAAATGTGTGTGCTATATCTAGTAAAGTGAGTTGTTGTTTTAACCTTCACCAAGTATTGCCTGGTGTTTGGTCCAGGGTGGAAAAGACCCTCAATGATCCCAGTCAAGCCTGGGCAACTGGGTCTGAAGTGCTCCATGGTCCCTGATAGCTACGAGGAAACAGACTTGGTGAAGGTACTATGAGGTATGCTTTTTGAAATACCCTAGTGATGGTAAGACTTTATGGGGTAGTTTGAATAAGCAATCATAAGATACCCTGGAGTGTCTGCTTTCTCAATTGTAAGCCCTTTGTGGGGTTATTTGAACAGTCAAACGGCTATAATGCCCCAAAATGAGATATAGGCCATCAAATCCATCTATGAAAATTCTAACTATAGAAAATTAAATAGCTTTGTCTCTTATATGGCATTGTAGCTGCACAGAAAAGTGCCAGAGGCATACAATGGGGGTATTGTTATACTCAGCAGATGTAGCTGAACACAATGTTAGGTTTTGTACAGGAATAGCACACACCAGCTTTACAAAATACACATTAAAAAAAATCTTGTTAAATGTGTATTTGTCAAAAAAACTGAAAAACCTAAATTTTTCTACACAATTTAGCAGAGATTGGCAGTCAAATGGCTACATGAAAAGTGTTAAAATAACCTTGTGGTGTGATGTCTACTTTATATAAATATATACTTTTGTGTAGCAATTTTGTTTTCTGTGATGGCTACTAAACTTACAAGACTAACTTAACATTTCACATTGAAATGTTATTTTATTCCTTGTATTTTGTGACCTGTAACTTTTGAAATAAGATGAAATCTGATGGGCATATTATGTACACGTTATTATTGCCAAAACTGTGAAAATTTATTTTTTTTGCAGATTTTATTATAAATAATAGTTTATCATGTCACATCAAATTAAACAAGCACTATATAATATGTGTTTGTGCAATAAATACAAACAATGCTAATTGTGTTTGTACACAAAAAAAAATTAAAGATTGCTGGTGTCCTTAAGTGTATGTTCAGCTTCTAAAGCTGCATCCTTAATGGGTTAATGTTTTTGGATAAGCTTTTAAAATGATGTAAAACAATAACTCCTAGAAAAAAACATCAAATGAGGTCTTAACTGCTGGAGCAGTCCAGGTATTCAGAGATATGAGCTAAACGTGGATTGGAGGGGAAATGGTGCACGTCATGTGTTATACGAAGGGTGAGTTTGTAACCTTCTTCTTTCTCCTCATATTGGGTCAAGTTGCCACATTGTTGTCCCTTTGTAAGCTGCTCCTGTGAGGTCTTACATCAGTCAATATCTGAGCTCCATTGGTGATGCTACACTGACTGGAACACAGAGGTGTCTGGACACCAAAAAGGTTGGTCTTCATTCAGCTTCACTGTGTTGCCCGTTCCCTTTGGAGGGATTGCTTTTAAAAGAGCTGCACATTATAAAAACCAGCAGTTATACTAACAGTTTGGGTGGAATTTACCTTTTTCGCCTGAGAATGAGTCAGGCTGCGCCATTGTTCTTTCTTCGCAAGCTCCAGCTGTGAAAAAATAACTGGAACTTAAAAGTCTGTTTTCCCAAATTTCCTTCCCACCTCGCCCACCCATAGAAACCCTACTGGCAACTCTTTGTCTTTAAACAAGGCCTATTTGCAGGAGCTCCTGGAGGGGCCACACGCATCATCTAAAGAAGTCAACTGCTGGTGTTTTGTCCCAGTTCAGCTTCAGATGGACTTGGGCTTTGCTTTATGGCTCTTCACTCTTCCTGTCTGATTTGGATTCAGCATCTGGACCTTGGATTGCTGTGGATGAACTGTAACCTTGGATGAACACCGGACAACCTTGTAACGTGTCTTATTTATCAACTATTCTGTTCATCATAATCCCATAGCTGTCCTCCTCATGTTATCTTTCTGGAATCCATAACCTACGTTTTTTTCCTGACTGCTCGCTCACCATTACAATTCAGACAAACCAATACAAAATTAATATTGGGTCCGACCCCTGAGCTTTGGTCTAGCATTTACAGCCCTTTTATACAAAGTACTGAGCTACATGGCTCAGGAGCTTACAATCTAAAGGTTATAATGGTGACTTGACATGAGAGGGAGCATGGGTGATTTGAAGATTCAGGTGAGAGAGCCTTAGAACATTTACGCAGACTGCTAAGATATGATGTGATTGAGGAGGTAATTGGGGAACATGCCATACGCCTATAAAGGAAGCAGGAAGCAGAAACCAGGGAGGAGGGGAGGGTGGGAAGCCTTTTGTGATAAAGGAGGATTTTGTTTGAAGTGGATATGGTGTATGTGAGAACTTTAAATGGGATGGAATGAGGAGAAACATGTAGGTGAAGGTATGTACTGCTGGAGAAAGGAGGGTTTAACAGAGTTCCTATACTCAGATTGAGTATTTCTGCTTCCTCAGTGCTATTGGGAGGATCACCGAGATCGATAATCTCAACCAATCCAATGCTTTCCCACAGGAAATATGCTCACATATGTGCTTCGATATGGTGAAAAACACCCCCGATGTTTGTTGGAGGGGCTGTGAGTTGAAGGAAACCTTTGTCCATATGTGAGCATAGGTGAGCAAATATCTGGAAATGGCTAAAGACATCCTGGTAGAGATATTCCACAGGCCAATAGAGATGGATCAATGGTTCTTCTTATTATCTAAACCAATCAGGGTTTAGCCAATATGCCACATATGCAAAAATGATTTAATACAATTACACAGCTGCAAGGAGAGCACTTGCACAGGTGTGGCTGGATATGGATGTACCCAAGAAAGACAACGTCAAACTTATAAAGGATAACTTCCTAATGGATAAATTCACAGCTCAGATTCACAACACGATGGTAGCTTTCAATAAAGTGTGGCAACTATGGGAAGATTACAATGGGTGAGTGGCCACCAGTAGCATGGCTGAGTGTCTAATAGGGTCGCAAGTATAACTATAAAGATTTTTTTTTTTTTAAAAGGCATACTACTTATAACAGAGAGAATGTATACTACATATACTAAACTAAGGCTGGTATGTATCCTAGATATACTAAACTGAGGTTGGAATGTATACTAGATATACTAAACTGAGGCTGGAATGTATACTAGATATACTAAACTGAGGCTGGTATGTATACTAGATATACTAAACTAAGGCTGGAATGTATACTAGATATACTAAACCAAGGCTGGAATGTATACTAGATATACTAAACTGAGGTTGGAATGTATACTAGATATACTAAACTAAGGCTGGAATGTATACTAGATATACTAAACTGAGGGTGGTATGTATACTAGATATACTAAACTGAGGCTGGAATGTATACTAAATATACTAAACTGAGGTTGGAATGTATACTAGATATACTAAACTGAGGTTGGAATGTATACTAGATATACTAAACTAAGGCTGGAATGTATACTAGATATACTAAACTGAGGCTGGTATGTATACTAGATATACTAAACTGAGGTTGGAATGTACGTTAGATATACTAAACTAAGGCCCTCTCCACTTTATGTCTCTGTTCACATTCTGTAACTTGCCAGATATTCACATTCTATAATTGTATAACACGGACACTATGTAGACGCTAATAATAATAAGACCTAGAACAGAGTGCATAAGGGGTGCCCATAAGGTGAATCTGTAAAAGTACATCTCCCATGATTCTTTGTTATTGTAAACGTTTACAAAGCATCATGGGAGATGCAGTTCTACAACATCTGAGGATCTATCTTTGGGCACCCCAAGGATTTACAGATAATTTGAAGGTTAAAGTCACACAAACACAAAATACTCACAGTGTTACAGGATGATGTGTTTTGTGTAACTCTGTTCGAAGAATCTGAGAAAGCAATGAGCTCTAAGTTAATAATCTGATTTTGTGGGGAATATTAATAAGATGGATGTGTATTGATAAGAGAATTATAAATGTGTGTTTATAGGAAGACACTACTGCAAGATAACTCACTCAAATACAGACATTAGAGAGAGCAATATCAATGGAAAATACAATCAGAACGTCACCCTATTCACTACTAGAGTGGGACAAGTAACGTGGCAGAATAAAAAGTCACTTATTTACATGATTTAAAGATGACACCTTAACCAAACATAAAATGTGCATAAACAAAATAAACTGGAAACAAGGAAAAAACAACTGCTACAGGTACAACTGAGGGGTTAACCCCATGTAAGCTCAAACATTATGCAGACTAGAAGCTAAAAAGGTGTTTCCAACGTATTGCGCTTGTTAGCAGACTATACAATAATTAATAAACAACAATTAATGAAATAAAACGTAACCTTTATTATATCAAGTTAAAACCACTAAGTCCAATTAAACAAAAAAAAAAAAAAAAAAACCTAATTAAAATCTTAGGTGAAAAAAACCTAATATTTATAAGGAATATATAACAGACTTCTAACTTGTAGGAGCAGAATCGCAAATCCTTATTATATACAGTATAGTAGAACACTCACTAAAAACATGGTTTGCTCCAAACCATTAGAGTGGTGTTTAGGTTTCAAACAGCGACAAAGTGAGATATCGGACCATAAATGTCCGCTAGAAAAACCCACTCAAGCGAGCTGACCATAGGGTTGAGAGGTGCGCTTAGATACAGGGGCGAGCGGATACAGTGGCAATTTGTAGCAAAAATGTATCAGGCTGCTAAATAGTAACACGTTAACGGGTATATATACTACAGATTGTCAGATAAATTAATTTTACAGTTTCCTTAAATCTTAGGATAGAGAGGATTGACCTGTGGTCCCTACCGTACCTTCGAGGACACCTATGTCTAAGGTAGCACCTTTAATAAATAACTAAAACGTCCCTAAGTGGATAAAACAATGAAAGTGCTGTGCTACAATGACAATATTTTATAACAATGTCACTACAGCACAGCACTTTCATTGTTTTATGAAAATGTCACTATAGCACAGCACTTTCATTGTTTTATCCATTTAGGGACATTTTAGTTATTTAGCGGGGAGCAAACGTCACAAATCCTTATTGTAGAATAGGCACTGCTTAGTTTCAAATTCTCAAAGATGCATTATAATAATCGACCACAAGAGTGCGCTCTCTGTTTGAAGACATATCTACACAACATACTCCTGTTAGTCTTCTTATGGCTCGTAGACCTGCCTAGATTTATAGGTAGAAATGGTAACAAACCAGAATTGGGAAAGATTTCTCTAGGTAATGACGTTGAGTAATATATTGACATAACAAAGTAGGAGGACATATTGATCCACAAACTGCAGAGAAAGGGGAGTATTTCTGAGCTCCTAGCCTTCACATTAATAGACAAACAGGGTTATTCACTAAAGAGAGAAATACAAGTGAATTTCAAATTTAAGGACAAAGTAGCGTAATGGGATGTATAGCTGACTGAGAGAGCAGGCAACACAAGACAAATTATTTACGTTAATTAACCCTGTAGTGCCACCCGCTCAGCACATGCACATGTCTAGTCTAACTTGAGAAAATACTGAATGCGCAGAGTATATATCTGTCTGTACCTGAGCGCACCCAAAGCATTATGGGCATTGCATGGGGCAGCAGTGGTAAGTGTTTTACTTACCTCTACAGCTTAATTCACCCCAGTAAAACCTGCAATAGTGTTTGAAGGGGTGATGGAATTAAGAACTGAAACTTTTCTGGGACCTTTTTAACCCCTTAAGGACCAAACTTCTGGAATAAAAGGGAATCATTACATGTCACACATGTCATGTGTCCTTAAGGGGTTAAACCTTCCACTTTAAACGTAGTAACATCCTGTAACAATATGTCCACCGCCTGGGTTAGATTTTATATTTTATTATAATACGCACCTAGTCACGGATATCTTCATTTCCAATCATTTTTCCTTATTTTTATGTCATTGAATATAAAAGTTGTGTTTTATGTAAAATAAAGGTAATCACCTTTTCCTAGTTGGAAGATTTGCTGGTCCATTTATTTATAATAGTTGACAAAGGGAAGAAATATACCGAGTGTCCCTTTAAATGGGATTTTTCTAAACTCTCCATTCAGATAAATCCATGATCCGTATGAAGCTGAATGAGTTCCAACAGAGAATGATACATAGAGAGTAATGGTGGAGGGATCTTACCTGTGTCAGATACCAGTGTTTTCAGCTCAGACAGTTGCACTCTAATCCTTTCTCCAGCCTTTTCACTAGTTCTCTGACCTCTGAACCTCTGATAGGATTCCTTTTCATTTTTACTGTATTGTAAAACATGATTAATCCCAGTACGTCCAGTTTTGATCCTAGTTATTATATCATCTGTACCATTGTTCTCTGAATCATAAATCACCGCGAAGACTTCCTTCTTCCCTGCACAAAAGAAGTGTGATCACATTAATGGCCATAGGCTTTCACCTGGAATTATTTAAATCGTTTTCTAAATCTTTAGTTTAAACATAAACGTTATTAAATTTGTCATAATGCATTTTGGATATATTCAATGAACCTAAAGTAACTGAGTTTAAAGTTTTTCTAGATTTTTTTTAATAAATATTGCAAAATGTAAAAATTAAAGAAAGTATCCCTAATATTGTAGTGATACCCAAGGTATATCGTTATTAGTGATCTGTCTCTTTAACAGATGATAAAACAACCCAAAGAGTGGAGGGCAGCGACAGGAGAGAGACAGCAAGATGCAGACAGACAGCAAGATGCAGAGAGACAGCGAGATGCAGAGAGACAGCGAGATGCAGACAGCGACAGGAGAGAGACAGCAAGATGCAGACAGACAGCGACAGAAGAGAGACAGCGAGATAAAGAGACAGTAACAGAAGAGAGACAGCGAGATAAAGAAACAGTGACAGGAGAGAGACAGCGAGATAAAGAAACAGTGACAGGAGAGAGACAGCAAGATAAAGAGATAGTGACAGGCAGTGGTGTATCCTGGTTTTGTGCTGCCCTAGGCAGGACAAAACTCAGGCACCCCCCTCCCCCCCCGCACAAACACACACAAACACACACACACACACAGTCAGACACATACACAAACACACACACACACAGTCAGACACATACACAGACACAGTCAGACACAAACACACACAGTCAGACACACACACAGTCAGACACACACACACACAGTCAGACACACACAGTCAGACACAAACACACACACAGCCCACACACACCCAGACACACACACAGTCAGACACACAGTCAGACACAAACACACACAAACACAGACACACAGTCAGACACAAACACACACACAGTCAACAACAACACAGACACACACAACACACAGTCAGACACACACACACAGCCCAGACACACACACACACACAGCCCAGACACACACACAGTCAGACACACACAAGACACACATCAACACAAACACACAGTCACACACACACACACAGTCAGACACACAAACACACACACACAGACACACACACAGCCCAGACACACACACACACACACAGTCAGACACACACAGTCAGACACAAACACACACACAAACACACAGACACACACAGTCACATACACACACACAGTCAGACACATCCACAGACACACACAGTCAGACACATACACAGACACAAACACACACAGTCAGACACAAACACACACACACACACACAGTCAGACACAAACACACACACACATTAACTTTTTTTTTAATTTAAATCCCCCCCCAACCTCCTTACCTTTGGGAGTGCTGGGGGGGGTCTCTCTCCCTGGTGGTCCAGTGGCTGCAGGGCGGGCGGCGCTGGCAGGCGGGCGAGCGTGCGGGCGGCCGGCGAGGGAGCACTTCCCATGAGCTGACTGCTCAGCTCCCTCGCGCGTCGGCTGCAGAGTGAGGCTGGGAACCGGAAGATGACGTCATCTTCCGGCTCCCAGCCTCACTTTGCGGTGCGCGAGGGAGCTGAGCAGTCAGCTCATGGGAAGTGCTCCCTCGCCGGCCGCCCGGGATGTCAGTTAGCCGCAAGGCTAACAAGGCATCTGCCCTGGGCATTTGGGGGGCGGCGTTTTTTGCCGCCCCCTGAAAAATGCCGCCCAAGGCAAATGCCTTGTTTGCCTCGCGGCTAATACGTCCCTGGTGACAGGAGAGAGACAGCAAGATAAAGAGACAGTGAGCAGTGGTGTACACACAACCCATAGTGCCCCGGTGTGAAATCCGTGGGCCCCCTTCCTCCCCCCCAACCCCCTGCTTGCTCTGCACGGGCCGGGGCCGCAACACATGGAGGCGGGCAAATCACAGTGAGAAGACGCTGAATGTCCATAGGAAAGCATTGAGTAATGAGTAATGCTTTACTATGGGCGGTTTGAATGCGCGCGCGGCTCTTGCTGCGCATGCGCATTCGGAGCTGTGTGGCGTATCGGGGCGGTGGGATCCCTAGTGCCAAGGGAGTTTGGCGCTGGAGAAAGGTAAGTGCTGAATATACACACACACACGAACAGATGCATACACACTAGCTAAAAGACACACACATTTACTGACAGACACACACTCAGTGACAGGCATACATACACACTCACTGACAGACACATATACACTCACTTACAAAACACACACTCACTAACAGACACCAAACAGACTCACTAACAAACGCACACAAACTAACACACTCACTGACACACACAAACTAACACACTCAGTAACACACTCACTGACCTTGGGGGGCCCTGAGGTGGCCAGCTCCTGGGCCCCCCAGGGGAAGAGTCTGGCCACACTGGGTACATACCAGGTCGCAGGGCGGCCGGGCCCCCTGGTGGGCCGGGCCTGTTCGCAGCAGCGACCCCTGTGACCTCGGTATGTACGCCACTGACAGTGAGATAGAGAGGGAGTGTCAGGAGAGATAGTGAGTTACAGAGACAGTGACAGGAGAGAGACAGTGAGATGGAGAGGGAGTGACAGGAGAGAGACAGCGAGATAAAGAGACAGTGACTGGCGAGACACAGTGAGATAGAGAGGCAGTGACAGGAGAGATAGTGAGTTACAGAGACAGTGACAAGAGAGACACAGTAAGATAGAGAGGCAGTGACAGGAGAGAGACAGTAAGAGATAGCAAGATAGAGAGACAGTGACAGGAGAGAGACAGTAAGATAGAGAGAGAGACAGTGAGATAGATAGAGAGAGAGAAACAGTGAGAAAGAGAGACAGAGGGATATGCAATGCAGCAGTAGGACAGTGACAGAGAGACACAAGATAGAGAGAGTTAAATTATCTATTGCAGAAAAGTATTTTAACAGATACCCGCTGCCTGTGCATTTGGATGTTTTTGAGATTGTGTCTGCATATATTATAGAAATTCAATTTCAAGTCTGTATTATTTTGGGATTACAATATAAAAAGACACAGTTGGATTGAATGTATGAATGACAAAAATATATTTCTTACCCCTGATGGAATATACTCAGAATCAATGTTCCAAAGGCATCACGGCGTGGTACAATGAAAGTGAGGCTTATATAGATCAAAAGAACAAAAACATGTGCAACGTTTCGACCTCTTGAGGCCAGTACGTTTTATGTGATTTTGTTCCAAATAAACCTCACCTTCATTGTACCACATTGTGATGCCTTTGGAACATTGATTCTGAGTACGTTCTTTGGGACTGTGATTCTAACTTTACCTGTTTTTATCCTTGGATTCCCTGCTGGGATATATTTCAGGTCGTTGACATGTTTTTCGGATACAAGAAATATAGTGTACGAGTACTTAGAGATCTTCTCTGTGATCTTCTTTTTGATCTTGTCCTCTGATCCTCTCGGTATCTCAGTGTGTTTAAACTGGAATAAACCATCCTTGTCCTTCCCATTCAGCGATGTCTTAAGCCAGTTGAACTCATCCTTCTGCCTTGAGATTATCCCAATCGAGTGTTTTACCGTGCTCTGTAATTACATGTTACAAATCGCAGAAATGTATTCACTAAACACCCTCCTTTATCTTACAATGTGTATCTAGATCTATAAAATGATAAATCAAACACCCCTCTTATAATTATTGAATAATATACCTTTATGCTGCAAGTATAATATAGAAAAATAAATGTAGCCCCATGTAGCCAAGCGCAGCTAAGCGGAAAAAGGCCTTGACAGGGGTTAGGAGGCGGGCCTAGGAGGAAGTAAGCAAGGGAGTGGAGTTATGGGTAAGTGGGTTTGGTTATTTAAATGGGCAGCCATTTTAGTTAATTCATTCTAACTTCCTACCTGGTTAAGTTTGTGTTCGCTCCTGTGGGCACAGATTTGGCTTGGTAGGGCTTTTTCCTTTTTGTCTCCCTGCAGGGCCGATGGATGAAGTGGAGCGACTGCTGGAGCGGATCCGGTCGGCGGCGAGGCACCAGGGGGCTGACTGGCTGAAGGCCCAGTTAGGCCCGGCCCTGGCGGCGGCGGCGGACCAGGACGGCGGCGGACGGCCTGTTCGGGCCAGGAGGCCTCCGGAGCGGCTAAGCCCGGGTGTGGGACCCGGTGAAGACATCCCTGGTGGTCCGGGAGGCTCCGGTGCGGGCGGCAGCAGGCCCGGCAGCCGCGTGGTAGAGGCCCCGCCTCCCCGCGAGCGGCCGGAGCCTAGGACCAGTGCCCGGCGCCGGGGGGACGGTCGGGACGGGGCCGTCGCGGCTGCCGGGTCGGACGTGGCCGGGCGGTCCCCTGGAGGAGCGGGCAGCATGGAGCTGCGGCCCGGGAGGGCGCGCGCCCCGTCGGAGGCGGAGATCGGCGGGGCCGGGACCGGGAGGACACGTGGCCGGTTCCCGGCCCCAAAGGCAAGTGCAGGGGGCTCCGGCCGGGGCCCTCTTGGCGGGAAAAGTGCTGGGGGGGTCCTGTCAGGGGGCGGAGGGCGGAGGGCCCAAGTGGGGGGTGGGAAGGCCTCCCAGGGACCGCGGGTGGTGGATGGGGAGGGCATAGGGGTCATAGGTGGGGGGAGTAGTGGTAGGGGTGGGGGGGCTGTGGGTGAGGAGGGACTGCTGGGCTCCCCTGGTAGGGGAAAGGGGGCCTCCTTGGGCTCTGGGGCTAGGCCGGTGCGGGTAGGGTCGGGTAGGCCTGGTTTAGGGGTTGGGGGGGCCAGTCTAGTTGAGGGGGGTCTAGGTCCCCTTAGTCTGGGAGCCAGTTCAGGTGGGGGGTCGGGCTCTAGCCGGAGGGGTGAGCGTTTGGGGGTGCAGGGTAGTAGGGGGGGGGGTCCGGTTCAGGGTCCTGTAGTGGTAGTCCCTCTCCGGTTCGGGAAGTAGAGCCACGGGGGAGGAGGGGGAGGAGGGGGAGGTCCCGGCAGCGCCGCTCCAGGTCAGGGAGCTCGGGAGAGAGCGGGTCTAGCGTTCCCAGGGGTGGTCGGCGGGGACGTATGCCCGGGGAAGACAGGAGGAGCCGTAGCCCTAGGGGCTCCCGCGCGCGGCGCGTGCAGGGGGCACAGCGGGAGGCTTTGGCAATGGGCAGGCGCTCCCAGGGTCGGGACGGGGGGGATGCGAATACTCAGTGCACCCTACCCAGGACTTCTTCTCCTCTTTCCAGGTCACGGAGCTGTTCCATATCGACACGGGCAAGGCACCGGTTTGGCTCCCCGGTTGGCGAGGTATCGGCGGGAGTCGCTCTCCCTGGACATCGGGCAGTCGACGACGCAGCCCCTGCCGCGTCAGTTGCAGGGGGCTTGGCCGGTGAGTCTTGTGGGTCACTACACTCCAGTTCCTTAGTTAGCACACTGCAAGCACTGCTCCACTCGCTGGGGGCGGGGGGTGACACGGGGGGTGGCGTTGGTCGGGTTTGGGCCCCGGGGACGGAGGTCCCTGGTCCTAGTGGGGTTTCCGTGGGGCTTAGTTCGGGCGGGGACGTGGGGGTGGCGCCCGAGGCGATGGCGGCCGGGGGTGACAAGGCGGAACTGGCCGGGGGTATTCCGGATGCAGCGAGGCAGCACGCATACGTCTCGTTTGCGGGCCCCCTGGGGGTTCATCTGAAACAGGACGTGAAAGAGAAGCTCTGGAAAGGTGAGTTCTGCGAGATCTTCTCCCTGCTCCCCTTGGAGGACTTTATTGACCTCAAGGAGGGCTTGGCCGGTGAGTCTTGTGGGTCACTACACTCCAGTTCCTTAGTTAGCACACTGCAAGCACTGCTCCACTCGCTGGGGGCGGGGGGTGACATGGGGGGTGGCGTTGGTCGGGTTTGGGCCCCGGGGACGGAGGTCCCTGGTCCTAGTGGGGTTTCCGTGGGGCTTAGTTCGGGCGGGGACGTGGGGGTGGCGCCCGAGGCGATGGCGGCCGGGGGTGACAAGGCGGAACTGGCCGGGGGTATTCCGGATGCAGCGAGGCAGCACGCATACGTCTCGTTTGCGGGCCCCCTGGGGGTTCATCTGAAACAGGACGTGAAAGAGAAGCTCTGGAAAGGTGAGTTCTGCGAGATCTTCTCCCTGCTCCCCTTGGAGGACTTTATTGACCTCAAGGAGGAGGATAAAAAGGATGAAAAGAAGGAGGAGGAGGAGAAGAGGAAGCGGTATCGCAAGATTCCGAAATCCTTTGGCAACTGGTTACGGGCGTTTTGCGTGCTAGCCAGCGTGCTCGGGGAAAAATCGCCGGGATTATGCTCGTCCCTGTTCTGCTACCTGGACGGCATTTGGGAAGCATATCGCACCTATGGGGGGCTGGCATGGTGGCGATACGATGAACAGTTTAGGCAGCGACTGGCGGCTAACCCGGGGATGAGGTGGGATCAGATGGATCTGCCCCTCTGGATGAAGCTAATGATGGCCCAGAAGGCGCAGCCCTTTCCAAACTCGGCCGGCGCGAAGGGGCAGTCCGCCTCGTCGGCCGCTTTGCAAAAGGGCTTCTGCTGGCTCTACAATGAGGGCCAGTGCAAATGGGGAAACGCGTGTCGATTTAAGCATGAGTGCTCCGGTTGCGGGGGTGCTCATGGGCTCAATCGCTGTTTCAAAAAAGGGAAGGCGGGAACAGCCGGAGCGGCTGCCGGGGCCGGAGGGAATGCTTCCCCTGCCCCGGGGCTTCACGCCGGTGAGGCTAGACGCGATGGAGCCGTGGCTAAGCCGCTACGGTAACAGGACTGATGCCTCGGTACTTAGGGAAGGCTTCGGGCGGGGTTTCTTTATTCCCTTCCGGGAGCGGGGGGTTTCGGGGGGGTTGCGCAACCTGAAGTCGGTGGCGGATTTCCCGGAGGTGGTACGGGAGAAACTAGACAAGGAGGTTGCGCTGGGGCGGATGGCGGGCCCGTTTGCGGTGCCCCCATTGGAGGACCTACGGGTTTCCCCTCTTGGGGTGGTGCCAAAGAAGGAGCCGGGGAAATTCCGGCTCATTCACCACCTCTCCTACCCAAAAGGGGAGTCGGTGAATGACGGTATTGATAAGGACCTATGCTCGGTCTCGTATGCATCATTCGACCGGGCGGTCGAGCTGGTTAAACGGGCCGGGCATGGGGCACTTATGGCAAAAGTGGATATTGAGGCGGCGTTTCGGCTGCTGCCAGTCCACCCGGACTGCCACCACCTGTTGGGATGTTTTTTCGAGGGAAAATATTTCGTGGACTTGTGCCTCCCTATGGGCTGTTCTATTTCATGCTCCTATTTCGAGAAATTTAGTACTTTTCTCGAATGGGTGGTGCGGGTCGAGGCGGGGAACCGTTCGGTGGTGCACTACCTGGACGATTTCTTTTGCGTGGGGCCGGCTGCCTCCTCGGCATGCCAGCAACTGCTTAGGACCGTGGAATGGGTGGCGGGCCACTTTGGGGTGCCGCTGGCAGCGGATAAGACGGAGGGCCCGACGACGTGCCTTAGTTTCTTGGGGTTAGAAATAGATTCTATCTTGGGTGAATGCCGACTGCCTCGGGACAAGTTGGAGGGGCTCAAGGGGGCGGTAGCTGCGGTGACCGTTGCGCGCAAAGTTACGCTGCGGCAACTGCAGTCGCTAATAGGGATGCTGAACTTTGCATGCCGTGTAATTCCTATGGGGAGGGTTTTCAGCCGCAGCCTGGCGGCTGCTACGGCAGGAGTTCGATCCCCGCATCATTTCATACGGGTGTCAGCAACCATGAGGGCTGATTTGGGCGTGTGGGATGCCTTCCTGCAGGATTTCAACGGGACGGTGTTTTTCAGGCGGGCGGGTAAGTCGGCGGCGGAGTTGGAGCTCTTCACGGATGCTTCGGGTAGTGTGGGCTTCGGGGCCTACTTTGGCGGGAGATGGTGCGCGGAGCGGTGGCCGGAGGCATGGGGGTCTAGCCCAGTCATGCGCAACCTGGCTTTTCTGGAATTATTCCCGTTGGTCGTTGCAATGGCACTATGGGGCGAGGGGCTCCGGGACCAGAAAGTGGTTTTTTTCTCGGACAACATGGCAGTGGTGCATGCGGTGAATAATCAATCGGCTGCCTCTAAGCCGGTGGTTAGGTTGCTGCGGCGCTTTGTGTTGATGTGTATGTCACGGAATGTTGTGTTTCGCGCGCGTCATGTCCCTGGGTACCTGAATGAGGTGGCTGACGCTCTGTCTCGTTTTCAGTGGTCCCGATTTTGGTCGATGGCGCCAGGAGCATTGAAGGAAGGGGAGGCTTGCCCGGACGAGATATGGCAGCTGGGAGCGTCCTGCTTGGGGACTTGTGAAGGCTTCACTGGCACCGGCCACATGGGCCTCCTACAGTAAGGTCTGGGACTCTTGGGAACGATCATTAGACGGGTTGGAGCATGGCTTACGTGGGGATGCGCTGCGGGACGCTTTTCTATGGTACACCTGCTAATTGCTGGCAAAGGGGGCGTCCCCGGCAGTGGTCGACAGGTCCATGGCGGCAATGGCGTTCTGGTTCCGATGGCGCGGGTCGGAGGATCTGACTAAGACCTTCCTAGTACGGCAGGCGCTGAAGGGTTATCGAAAGGGCCGCAGGACCTGTGACTCTAGGCGCCCGGTGTCGGTACGGGTATTGGGGGATCTGGTGGGTCGGTTGCCGGAAATTTGTTTCAACGGGTTTGAGGTCTCTCTGTTCAGAGCGGCTTTTCTCTTGGCATTTTTCGGGGCGTTCCGCGTGGGGGAGCTGGTGAGTGCAGTAGGGTGGTGCCCGGGGGTCTGCAGGCCTCAGGGGTTCGTGTTTTGGAGGGTAAGGTGGTTGTGCATCTGGGTAGTTCTAAGACGGACGTCCGTGGCGTGGGTAGGGACGTTACGCTATGGGCTCTGCCGGGCGCAGCATTGTGCCCGGTGGCTGCAGTGGCGGAGTACATGGCTCGGAGGCCGGCGGTGGGGGGTTCCTTCTTGGTACATGCAGATGGTTCTTCCCTGTCCCGGTTTCAGTTTACAAAGGTTTTTCGGGCCGGGCTAGGTAAGTTGGGGCTTCCGGCCGGACGTTTTGGTACTCACTCCTTTCGCATTGGGGCGGCCACGGAGGCCGCACGGTTGGGATTAGGAGATGAGGTCGTGAAGCGCATAGGGAGATGGGAGTCGGTGCGGTTCCGCTCATATGTGCGGTTGGGCTTATTGGAATAATAAAAAATAAATAAAAAAAAGGTACATGTCTGGGTAGGTATATGTTTATATATATGTATATGTATAGATATGGTGCGGGGGCGGACATGGACGGAGGAGTCCTCTTTTGCCTTTCCCTCATGCTTGTTTTCTTCTTCTCCCCAGGACGGGTTGCTTGGATTGTGGGACATTCTTTTGTCTTCTGGGCCGAGGGGAGGGCCGCAGCTCGAATGCAGGGCCAGCAGCTGGGCTTTCCGAAGGACCAGTTGACAGTCCGATGGTTTGGGTACAGGGGATTTTGCTGGGGGGAGGTTTGTGGGGCAATGTTTAGGATGGTGGTGGGCGGGAGGACACCGGACATGGTGGTCCTTCATGCTGGGGGTAACGACTTGGGCCTCACGCCACAATGTCGGTTGGTAAAGCGGATGAAGCAGGACATCAACAAATTGAGGGACCTGCTTCCGGGGGTTATGTTAGTGTGGTCGGAGATTGTCCCAAGGCGTCGATGGCGGCACGCGCGGGATCCGGTGGCGATTGATCACTGCAGGAAAAAGGTGAACAGCTTAATGGCGAGCTTTGTTAGGAAGATGGGAGGTGTGGTGGTACGGCACAGCGAGTTGGAGGAGGGGTTGCCGGGGTACTACCGCTCGGACGGGGTTCACCTTTCGGAGGTGGGTTGGGATCTGCTCAACTTGGGTTGGCAGGTTGGTATGCAGCGGGCGCTGTTTCTTCGGGGTGGCGGAGCTCAGACGGCTTAAGGGGTCAAGGTCTGAGCTTATGGCGGGACGGGGAGCTGAAGGAGAGGAAATAGGCTCCCCAGGATGAACGTAATGGAAGACAAACAAGTGGTGGTGATTGGTGGTTGATAGGTTTCGAGTCCTGTCGGTGGCTCAGAACCTGGTGGGGTAGGGGTATCCGGGTATACCCCTGCCGTGGTTAATGGATGGTTGGCACTTTACATCGATTGGAATAATGTTGATGTATGTTATATATATATGTTTATTTATATGGGGGTCATTGCCCTTTATATGTTAATGGAAGGAATAGGATGCGAGGGCGGAGTATGGGGGCAATGACCCATGTTTACTTGTTAAGTTATTATTATTATTATTATTGTTATTATTATTGTTTGCTAAATAAAGCTGTGGACATATTTCCCCATATCCTCTAGTATGTGCGTTATTGGGTTGGGTTATGGGGTGGTTGTCCTGGATTCCGACTGCCCAAAATGGCGACTATACACCTGTCATGTACACAAAACAAACTGGTGAGAGAGAAAGAGACAAATACAGAAAGAGACAGAAGCACAAAAAGGCAGACAGAGAGAGAGACAGATACATATATATTTTTTTCTTTATGTATTTTATTACAATATTTTGTATGACTCGATTTTTCTTTCTAAACACCAATTTTGACTTGAGAATTACTTTGTAAACTTTATAGAATATTTGATTTAATTTGTAATTAGTGAATCGTGCACATAGTGACACTGCTTACGTTTCCTAAAGTCCATCTTGACGCAGTTAAGTCAGATTGTGGCTGAGATTCTGTAAGTGAAAACAAACCAACTTCAACATGAGAGAACATTTCTGATGGAGAAAGCAGAACATATCAACCGCAATTAGGGAGAAAATATGGAATCACCCACATCTGTTAAAGCTAAACATTCATATTAACAGCATTCATGTCATAAAGGTGCGACACAAACAGTGACCTTTGGAAAGGCTCCTAGTACATTGGGTCTGTGATCTGCAGCTTGAGAGCACTTTCTAATTGAAATAAACTGGAGGTGTGATAGGGCGCCTGTTGGCAGTACTGAAGGAGTGACAGGGGGGATAAGAATTCTAGCCCAGCAATGTGTAGGTGTGATGGACCCCCAGGCACCCCGACCAGGTGCCTCCATCAGTCATTGCTCTGAGTGCTCACTGAGGGCTCCAAGCACTCCACCTGACACTATCAGCACTGTAGTCCCCTCGTCCAGCCTTACAGCTTGGCTGGAAACTCGCGTCCTCCACCCACCCTGGACCCAAGACCAGGATCCAGCTTCCAGTGTGTGAACCTCTCCTATTCCAGAGAGCGTAGCAGAAACAGCTCTTAAAAGAGCTAGCGATTATAATCCCAAGGGAGTATAGTGATTTAGCAATCCCCAGGGTAGATACAGCCTTTTCCCCCACACATGAGATGAGACTCTATGTTGTGAGTAAGCAGGGTCTCAATATTAATGGTACCACACTGGCCTTTTATGCAAGTCCCAAGCAAGGTGTATGCCCACATGGACCTTGCTGGGGACAGGGACACAAAGCTTACAAACCAATCAGAACAGTAATTAAATGTACGACACTCCCATAACAAACACACAATCCCTCCTCTCTGCCTGTGAGATAATTGAATCAGATACTGTATTAATCCAATTATCTCCAGGCAGAAAAACCCCACATATTTTACAAAAAACCCCAAATCCTCTAAAAATACATAAAACCTCACAAATATTACATCCACTGATAGCCCTGACGTGGGTGACCAACATATACAAAAATCACCCAGATCAGTTCAGGAGTTCAGGAATTTCCTGGAAGTCTTATTTTTGACCGACCGGGCTTATGGTCCTATGCCCAAAACAGTTCCAGGGAATAAGGGCTAACGGTCGGTCTCTCTCTGTCTGGAGTACAAAAGTACATTACTCACATGAACAGAGCCTTTTCAAAATATTTTAGCTAGGTCTATTGCAGGGGCCATAGTCACAGGGTAGGAGGCTGGCAAACAGGCCCCTCCAAAAACAAGTGGCGAGATCACTTTCGCCACAGCAGGTTTGTGCATTAATTGGTGGTCTGTAATCTCAATGCTCTCCGGGGCTGAACTGGCCCAATGACAAGTTTCTCCAAGAGATAGCAGGACCTGAGGATGGCCAGGCTGTCAGACTATAATAAGAACTGGGAACTTAATTTTCCCAGTGGAACTAAATAAATCAATATTGAGGGCTAATCCTATGGTGAACGCTTATATTTTGGCTCTTACCTTCCTTCAGGATCTCCATCATGTTATTTAGCGTATCTTCCATGCGTCTTGTATTTGGATCAAGAAATGCAACTTCATTTTTGGTAAAAAGAAAGAGCCGACACCCTGCCAAGTTTTCCATCCACTGAGTTTTCTTCTTCTTTAATTCATTTTCATTTTCACCAACTACCACCGCCACGCTCTGACGTCCTGCATACCGTGAAAAGACACCACAATCATCTTCCATTAACTTTTTCCCATAGTCAAAGGCCAACAATACCTTGGTATTATTAATCTAATTCTAATATTTCCAACATATGTCATAACACTGTATGCCTTATTCTTCACATTTTAAGAAAATAATATGAGTGTGTAGACCTTTTAAAGGACCACTCCACACTCCATAAAACACTTCAGTTTGCTGAAATTCTTTATGGTTGAGGAGTATCCTATTTTAACTCTAGTTTAAAACGTGCAATTTCTATGCATTAGTCACTTTTATAAATAATTATGGAACACCCCCCTGACTGTCAAACAGCCAGGGAGGTTTGCTTCCTGTTTCGGTTACCTCACCTGAGCTAATGGAATTGTCAAGAACAGTCTAATTGAGTACGCCTGCCTCCCCCCACATACTTCCTTCTTAGAACTCAGGTTAGACTGCTGTACAGTGCGTGAGCCAGACAGATGCAGGAGTGATCAGACGTGTGCATGTCCTCGGAGAGAGATCTGCAGATAGACTATTTTCCAGTGAAGAGACTGTTAGTTTTTCCTCCAAGGAAAATGGGGATGGCTTGCCAAGAACTGCAGCTTTATTACCCACTATAAATACATATATGAATTCTCATGCATGTATTCATAGTGGGTATATCTACTACACAATTATACTTTTTTGCCTATTTGGGCAGTGAAGTGTCCCTTTAATGTCTTTATGTAACATCCCACCTGATACATACTATACATGAGAATATTAACTCTTCATGCAGCCTGTAGTGAGCTACTTGTAGTGGTTACAATGCAGCCATCATAATCTGTTACCCTAAATATTAACCGAAGTGTAGGGTATTTGGGTAGATGTAGGGGTCAGTGCAGTATCCCACCGTTCTCCACAGACAGGACTGATTAGATAACCCATCTTTATCGAGCCCCCTCAATCTCGGTGGGGTGGGGGAGAAATGGGAGAAAACACTGGTTCTTCTCTCAACCTTAGCACTTTATTTACTTTGATTTTCTTAAATTCTATTCTACTGAAAGCTCGGGTAATTTTAATTTGTGATATTCCATAAAATCCTGCATAAATGTGATCTTATAGTGAATATTCCAAGAGATATACTGTACATTATTTAATGGATTTTAGTGAAAATATTATCAGAAATTGTTCTATTCTACAACTGTAGTTTTTTACATAGATCTCAATGTTATCATAGAAACATAGAAACATAGAATGTGACGGCAGATAAGAACCATTCGGCCCATCTAGTCTGCCCAGTTTTCTAAATACTTTCATTAGTCCCTGGCCTTATCTTATAGTTAGGATAACCTTATGCCCAGGGGCGGACTGAGCACTCGGGCATATCGGTCATGGACCGAGGGCCCGAGGCTCTGGGGGGCCCGTCCATGGTGCAGAATGTAATAGCAGCTGGGGAGTTCGGCAAGCTCCCCAGCCCCAGCATGCACTCAGTAAGGGGACACGAACTTCTACGGGCCCCTGCTGTTAGTGAAGTTCCCCCCATTGTCGGCTATACTCACAGTCAGCAGACCGTTGTAGCACACTGAGAGACAGCCCAGGGGCCTTATCAAAGACCCTCCAGGCTGCCTCACACTGTGCCTGTCTCGGCTGAGGCTCCAGGAGCAGAGCCCTCCATGCAGGCTGCCTGTAACTGACCAGAGAAGCCCGTGCGGAGCGGCTTTATCAGTGTTTCTGGCAGCCTGCCCGCAATTCCATGGCCGGCCAGGGAGGGAGCTCTCCTAGACACTCACATGGCAAGATGGCGGTTGGACTCTCTGCACCACTGTGGGTAAGGATTACCCCCTTCCTGGACAAAGGTAAGGTTTAGGGAGGGGGGATACATTATTTTAACTTTTTTTTAACCTATCCATCCATTCCCCTTTATTCACCAAGCCCCAACACACACTACAACCCCTATCATCCCCTACACACACACAACCCCTATTAACCCCAGCACGCTCTACAACTCCTATCACCCCTACACATACTACAACCCCTACACACTCCAACCCCTATCACTCCCTAACATACTTCAACCCACACACACCACAACCCCTATCACTCCCTAACATACTTCAACCCACACACACACCACAACCCCTATCACTCCCTAACATACTTCAACCCACACACACACCACAACCCCTATCACTCCCTAACATACTTCAATCCTTACACACTACAACCCATACACACACTACAACCCCTATAACTCCCTACACCTACAATACAACCCCTATCACCCCATCACACACTACAACCCTTACACATCATACAACCCCTATTACCCACTGCAACCCCTATCACCCCTGCACATACTACATCCCCTATTACCCCCCTACATATTTTACAACCCCGTTACCCTCTTCAGCCTCTATTCCTCCCCTGCACCCTCAATAGCTTATATTACCCTGCCTCCTACTATTGCCTCTATTACCCCTTCCCCACTACAGCACTTATAACAACTACATGCCCCTGTGTTCACCCACACGGATGTGCAAACTTGAGTTCACACACAAACTACATCCAAATATGGCCTTGCATGCAGACCCTCAATATAAATACATCACTGCATACACACCCTGATGTCATGGACATAGTAGAATGAATTACAAAACAAAAAAATAAATGTGTATTCCTGACCATATAGTTTAAAAAACACCATTTAGGTTACCGGCATTCCCTTGCCCCTTCTTAAAAGGTAATAAACTTACCTTTATTTCAGGGCCACACGGGTCCGCCGGCGCTGGCTCAGCCCATGCTCTGGCCCCTTGACTGAGATAATCAGAATTGATAATCTCAGCCATTTCAATGCTCTCCCATAGGAAGCATTGGGAAGCTTATTGGCACACATGGCAAAACACTGTGTTGCGCCAATCAGAATCTCCTCATAGAGATGTATTGAATCAATGCATCTTTGTGGGGAACGTTCAACGCCTCCATGCAGAGCAATGAGGCACTGAACATCAGTGCTGCACATTGTCGATCACTGACCCAGGAAGCATCTTTAGTGGCCGTCTGAGTGACTGCCACTGGAGACGTCCCTATGCAGCAATGTAAATGCAGCCTTTTTCTGAAAAGGCAGGGTTTACATTAAAATGCCTGTAAGGACTGGCTATACATACCAGAACAACTACATTAATCTGAAGTTGTTCTGGTGACTATAGTGTCCCTTTAAGGTGGCTCATAACTTTTAGCACATGGTTAGTACTTCAAGACCCAAAATTTGGATGCCTGCATTCCTCATATAAACACATTGCCTTGATTCACATACACACTTAAAGCACCACTAAAGGGACCCAGACCACTTCAGCTCAATTAAGTAGTCTGGGTGCCAGGTCCATCTAGGATTAACCCTGCAGCTGTAGACATAGCAGTTTCAGAGAAACTGCTATATTTACATTAGGGTTAATCCAGCCTCTACTGGCTGTCTCATTGAAAGGCACTTCCGTGCTTCTCACTGTGAAAATCACAGTGAGAAGTCGCTGATGTCCATAGGAAAGCATTGAGAAATGCTTTCCTATGGACTGATTGAATGCGCACGCGGCTCTTGCTGCGCATGCGCATTCAGCGCTGACGTCGGAGAGGGAGGAGATTTCCCCAGAGCCGAGGGAGCCTGGCGCTGGAGAAAGGTCAGTGATTAAGCCCTTAACCCTTCTTGAGGCCGGCGGGAGGGGACCCTGAGGCTGGGGGGCACCCAAAGACCTATAGTGCCAGGAAAACAAGTTTGTTTTCCTGGCACTATAGTGGTCCTTTAACTACTACCCTATTTAAAAAATAAAAAAAAATTATATTACTCTGAATCCACACATTGTGACACTAGACACAAACTTACATATATTCACTTAAACCAAGGGTCACAGGGAATATGCACACAAAAACATACATTCACTTTACATGCACATATATAATCAAATACACCGTACATACACCATCTTATATACCAGCATATATATTGGTCTGGGGGGGGACCAGGTCCTAATTTTGCCCAGGGGCCCAGGTCACTGTCAGTCCGTCCCTGCTTATGCCTATCCCACGCATGCTTAAACTCCTTCACTGTGTTAACCTCTACCACTTCAGCTGGAAGGCTATTCCATGCATCCACTACCCTCACAGTAAAGTAATACTTCCTGATATTATTTTTAAACCTTTGCCCCTCTAATTTATGACCTTTTGTTGTGGTAGTTTTTCTTCTTTTACATTTAGTCTCCTCCTTTACTGTGTTGATTCCCTTTATATATTTAAATGTTTCTATCATATCCCCCCTGTCTCGTCTTTCCTCCAAGCTATACATGTTAAGATCCTTTAACCTTTCCTGGTAAGTTTTATCCCGCAATCCATGAACCAGTTTAGTAGCCCTTCTCTGAACCCTCTCTAAGGTATCAATATCCTTCTGAAGATACGGTCTCCAGTACTGTGTACAATACTCCAAGTGAGGTCTCACCAGTGTTCTGTTCAATGGCATGAGCACTTCCCTCTTTCTACTGCTAATACCTCTCCCTATACAACCAAGCATTCTGCTAGCATTTCCTGCTGCTCTATTACATTGTCTGCCTACCTTTAAGTCATCAGAAATAATCACCCCTAAATCCCTTTCCTCAGATGTTGAGGTTAGGACTCTATCAAATATTCTGTACTCTGCCCTTGGGTTTTTACGTCCAAGATGCATTATCTTGCACTTATCCACATTAAATGTCAGGTGCCACAATTCATTTTGCTATTTGCTATTTGATAATATGTAATTAAAGGTAATTGTGAAAGCTCTCAGATTTCCAAGTCAGGTCTCTATTCCTTAACATCTCATTCCGTCATTACTCCAAGTTTTTCTCTCACCTTTTCTTGCGATACATTGTTTCTGGAACTTGCTCATATGTCCCCAGGTTCTCGTTAGATCTTCATAGTAACAAATGATTGTATGAGATGTATCAATGATATCATTCCATTCATTCTCTTTGACATTATCCATTCTAATTCTCATAGAACTAGACGAAGTTAGATGGTTCTCTAGCCATGATATGTCAGTGTTTGGATCCCAGTAGCAGATCTTCACCTTACTCTCTGTATATCTGAAACATAAAACACAGACACAATTCAGAGACACTAACACAGGATGCATCACACTTACTATCAGCGACTCAAACCCATGACTGCACAGAACTATGACCCAGTCTAACGACACTTGCCTGGTCCTCAAGCCAATCGGGAACCGCCAAAGGATGCACGCACCGAATGAAAAAAAATGAATGATGACGAATCCCGGCATTGAGAACACTGCTCACATTTGGAGAGCGTTCCTAAAGACACACAGGGGACGTAATGTAATTTCCAGCTCGAATCTGACTAGTGTCCCATTCACACACGTTCTGGAGTCACAGGCATGATGTGGACCAATCAAATCCAACATAACAGTATTTCTATTTTCTGGCACCGTTGAATTGGGATATTTCTGTTATTGACCTTGGCTTTGTTCCTGATTCCATGTAAAACGTTTTCTTACTTGTTTACCTGTTCTATTGATGTAGAGTTTACCTGTCGTTGTGTTTTTCACCTGACCTTGGCTTGTATTTGACTTTGTTTACATTAGGCCCAGCCACTCTGTCTATTTCTCTGCTTATTGGGGTTACTCATCGTGACACCCAGCAAGATCCACCCACGAATCAAAACATAAAAACAGACAATGTCTGCAAATAAGTCTGTGGATGCTCATTATAAGAGGGTTTATCAAAAATATCAGAGGACGTTCTATCTCGTCAGTTAATGTTTGTTTCACTAAGTTTCCAGTTTTGTAACTTCCTGAATCCTGATGTGAAGAAAGAAGTCAGGATTCCAACAACAAACGGTTTATAGAATGGGGTATACTGTGATAATGTTTGATTACGTTTGTTTTTAACCTGTTAAAGGGACATGCATCACTTTGCAAAACTGTCTCATTCAAATGCTTTGACTTAGTCTTAGAGAAAAGGGAGAGAAAAAAAAAGAAAGAAATTTGAAATAATAATAATAATAACAATGCAATCTGAACAAGTTTATAGTATGTTTGTTAACATTTATTACATACGTTTCAAAAAATGTCTTACTTTATCTTGGTTTGTATATGTAGCGGAGCCCTAATTTCACATAGACGTTCTCCGCTGATAATCCAATAGTAACTCAGGAACCAGGGGTTAACACAGGAAAAACAGCATCAGTGGTAAATAGAGTAATCCACGAATCTCCCACCCCCTTTCCCAATAACTGGACGACACACAGTATCAGGAGCAGAACTGATGTTTAGTCCCACATACCCTGCTTTTATGCATCTCTCCCATGCAGGGGAGACACCCACAGAAAATTATACATTAACCAATCATACACAGGTTACAGCCCACACATCTCCTCCTCTCAGCCTGTAAGATAATACAATTAACAGTACAGTTTTCATACAGAGTTTTCCCCGATTTCTAGATGTGCCCCAAATACATAACCTACACCCCTAAATTATACATCCCCTGATATCCCTGATCTGGGTGAGCAACATAGAAACATAGAAACATAGAATGTGACGGCAGATAAGAACCATTCGGCCCATCTAGTCTGCCCAATTTTCTAAATACTTTCATTAGTCCCTAGTCTTATCTTATAATTAGGATAGCCTTATGCCTATCCCACGCATGCTTAAACTCCTTAAAAATCACCCAGATCGGACCAGGGGTTCAGGAATTTCATGGAGGTGTTTGTTTGACCGATTGCACACGAGGCAGTAGCCGAAAGTAGTTCCATATATTCTGGCCTTGTGGTCAGTCTGTGTTCGTGGAGTAAATAGCATGAAAATACTGTACAGATTGGTCTTGGCTTGGATTCGTATGAATCCCCTGGTTCGTGGGCATCCTTCTACTGAACGCTGGGCCGTTCGTCTGTTTATTCATGAACGGGTGAAAGTATGGAGGTCTCTGCGGTGTTCGCGTGGTCGAGTGTCCGATTTGAGTTCCAGACACTCGACGACCAAACACCACTGGGCGTTCGTATGGCAAGATAGCCGCCGCCACATGTTTGTATGCCGAATGACGCCCACCAAGGGAACACACTGTAAATTCGTGTAATTGGCAATTGGGCTGGTGTTAATACCGATGAATAAATTATAGACACACTTCTCTCCAAGGTGGTCTGGTTGTTCGGTAGTTTGTTCGTATATCGAACGGAGATATTCAATTGGGTATCCCTTGCATTTCTACCGAACAACCAGACAAATGCTTTGTATAATACATTGTATCCAAAGGAATAAACGATAGGGAAATAACGTTGCAACCATAATAGTTAGGGACAACAAAATGCAATCCGCTCCAGTATATTATGTAAAAATGTTTACTTGTTGGTTAAAAAATAAAAAAAATATTATCAAGTGATACGTGTCCCTTTAAGGACCCAGTCTCTTCTAAGATTAGATGTGTCTGTGACCACCAATCGACCATAATTTGATGTTTTCCGGTTAAGTGCACCTACAGATGTTGCATGTATATATATATATATGTAAAAGGACATAAAATGCACTCTTTAGAGTATGTATGTGCTTGATACAAAAAAGCATTAATAAGTTATTTAAAAATGGTTATACTAATTTCTACATAACTAAATAAAATAAAATAAAAAACTCACTCTAATATCTCTCCCATATTCTACCCCAAGCCTAACACTGCATCAACCCTCTAAGCATAATGCTACCCTTATATCTACATCCTTATCCCTAACCTATCGTTCCTGTAAGTTTTCTTGTAATTGTCCTATTTATTGTTAAATCCCCCCTCTCATAATATTGTAGAGCTCTACGTAATCTGTTGGCACTATATAAATTAAATGGCAATACTGATAATAATAACTCTAACACTACACCCTCGAAACATAGGATAGGATCCATGGAGTATACTGTCAGTATTGGTGGGCTCTAACACAACGTGGCCACACTTTGTTTGTACATTATACAGGTCATTTTAAATAACATTAAAACATTGGAAAATGCTTTAAAATATCTCTGCTGAGCCATGCTTGTGTATTTTGGGATACATTTGTGGCTTTTTGTCACTAAAGTTAGAAAAAATGCTAAACCACATAATACGAAGAGAGTTAGATTTATAAGCTAAATGCCAGCACAGGGAGAGTCGGGTGTAAAGAAATTATAGAATGATAAATGTGAGATTTTATGAATCATTAACTTGTTCCATCTTGCAGGCTCGCTGTCTCATTGCTTTTGCCCTTTGATAATTTCCTTATACTTCAATCTCTCTGTCAGCTAAATGTCAGCAAGAATCTGATGTTAGTACATAGCGAGGAAGGAATTGTATTTAAAGATGAAGATTTCAAATTGTATTAAAGCTTCTGGTGATTTTTCATAGGGTGTGAATATAAGGTGAGATTCATGCTACTGTCAGTGATCTGTGCTGTTTACATTGTATAAACCTTATGATAAAAAAAAAGGCCCTTAGTCTATTTATCAAACATTCAGGTTACGTGTTACACATGAAGACCTAGCCCGAGGACTCCAGGCACCATAACCAATTCAAAGAGATAAAATAGGTCCTACAGTGTCCCTTTAATCACAATCCCTGACAGACTTATTCACTATTCCGGTTTATTCGCTTATGTGGGAATTTTTAAGTATTGAAATTAAATTAAAAGTAAATGTAACATACTAGGCAAAAACAGTTAAAATGAAAACAGCTGACTTTCAGGATTTTCCCAGTTTGCCTGTTTTGGCCACCATTTCAAATCGACTTTAGATTCCTGACAATTTTCACTTTAGTAAATACAAATTATCATTCATAGACTCCCCCGTGTTAAATCAGTCACAGTTATCATTGTAGATCTTTAGGGATCACATCGGAAATTAAATAACTGATTGGGAACTCCTCATACTGCCGGGCAGCACTTTCTAACCCTTTCAAACTCTATGGCCAATGTTCACTGGGCGCCCAGAACAACGTGAATCCAGGATAAACCTCACTGTATTCTTTATGGAAAACACAAACAAATAATTAAACTATAACTGTCCTCAGTATTATTAGAGGGCAGTGGGCTTAGAATGGATATTACAATACAAACAGCGCATGGACCATGGGGTGGGTGGGGGTGTATCAAACAGAATTTTACTCTGAGTTTCTCTGAACTTTAAGCAATTTATTTTACAACTTTATTATTATCAATCTGCACAGGAAGAGGTATCAATGTCTGTATAGAGTAAAGATTAATCTGATTATTAAACATTGTGTCCTGTGTAGGAATGCCAGTAAGAGCCAGCTGATCAGTGAATGATCAGTGAATGAATGGTAAATATTGTATCATCTGACAGATGTACTCACCCAGTGCGCTCATTCTCTGGAGGCTCAGTAGGTGACCCAGATACAGAGACCTGGGGGACTCCAGCGGGCGATTCCTCTGATTTTAATCCATGTGGCTGGACAGGTTTATTCCTTTCATTGTATGATTTCCATGCATCCTCTGCAGAGCCTGGTGTTGCCCCTATACCAGTCTCTGGATCCTCTTGCATGCTGTTGATCTCACACAGAACCCGCTGCGCAGAGTAATCGCTGTCCTGGAAAAGAGATTATTAAATCAAGAATTCTGTCCTCACTCCAATAAAACCGATATGTTCAGTATATCAGTAATGGGATGTTATCGTCTGTCTGTCCGTCACCCTCCAGAGCCTGGTGTTGTCACTCAGTGATATTGTGTGTTTGTTATTCTCTCCAGATATTGTGTGTTTGTTACATTCTCCAGGAAGGTTGTGTGTTTGATGCACTTTGTCCCTGGTTGTTAATTCTATGGCATTTCAATACCCCAGTAAAATAATTCTCATATCGCACTCTGACCCTTTATTATAAACTGTTTATTATCCAGGAAGGAATTATTTTGGCTGGAGAGGAATGTCTAGGGTTTATTTAAATCATAAAGGAGCATCCATTTACCTCTAGTCGTGTTATTTAAGCTCAGGTTTCCTCTGATTCCCCAGCAGTCAGATAAACACATTGTACACATCTTCTATCAACAAAAACCAAGAGGGTGGGGGGCATGGCTTGACCGCCGAGAGTAATGGCCGCATCGTCAGAGTGCCCCGCACCCGAGATTCCACATACGCCCTGTAAACAGTTATTACCCCGACACTAACAGCAGATAACTAACGGGAACACTGCCCGAACAGTGCCTGAACATGTCCAGCCGCAAATTGCAAAAAAAACCTAAAGGTAACGCACCTTCCATGCCAGACATGCTGGGTGCACAGTGGCCCTCACCCGTCACCTTCCAAGATGGCGCCAGCCAGACACGCTCTGCCTCCAGAGGCTCTCCCGGCTCATATGACTCTGCTTGCCATACACACCCGGCACACACCCAGATGCAAACCGCCTCCAAGAGGTACAAAAAAAAGTTATGAGAGTAAGGGGCCTACCTGAGAGTGTGAGGGATGCCAACCTGGAACACAGTTTGCTGACCTGCTTAAAGGAACGCCTGCCTGACATGCCAGACTAGCTATGGCTCATCAACAGGGTACATCTGGTTCTGCAAGCAAGACCGCTGAAAACAGCCCACCCAGAGATGTCATATTGCGCTGGCACTTTTTCTCCACGAAGGAGTCAATGATGAAATCGAGAAACACAACTTCAAGCATGAGAATCATGAAATTGGCCTATTCCAGGACATTAGGACGCTAGAGAGAATGGAAACCAATTGCAGATCTCTTTAGGGCCAAGAGACTGCGGTTTGCCTGGGGATTCCCCTTTAAAATACTTGTCTTTAACGGCCCGAAGCCAGCTGTATGGCTCCCTTCTGCTGACCCTAAAGCGTTCCTGAGGGACCTGGGTATTGAAGTGCCCCAATACCTACAAATGCCACACAGAGGCCCTAGCAGTTTGGGACTTTTGCCACGAGAATGGATGGAGCAGCATGCCTGACCTGTACAAGCACCCAGCAAGGGCAGATACACTGGAGCTTCAGACATGCAAGTTTGACCATGAAACAGACTGTAATGGTTTCCACAGTTAGTCTTAGTTTGAGTTGAACCATTGGTGGCGAGGAGAAAGTGGTGTTCCCCACAGAAACTGAAGGGGTACATTGTATTCCTGCCTGGATACTGGATAGCTAAATAGAGAAGGGTTGGGGACTTGTGTTCCTGTTATTTCATTTTATTGTATTGTATACATGTTTATGGAACCATACCACCATTTTTAGGTATTTCGATGGGGTGCTCGATATCTGTCCTGGGGTAGGTGACTTCCCCCGCGAAACAGGTAGCCACCCCCAATTGGCCTGGCCACAGATAAGACCGGCATTTTCCTTATAATGTTTGACAAAGTTATGACTGATTTTCATTCATGTTACACAAATGCTACTGCTTTTCTCTTTCCTGTTTCTTCTTCCTCCTTCTATTAACCCCTCTCACTCTCCTCTCCCTCCCTACCCTCTTCCCCTCCTCCCTACTGGGGGTGGGAGATCAGAGACGAAGGTTTAGAATGACACAGTCACTCCTAAGCACTCGACTGGCATCAGCAGGTCACCCTAACAAGACCGATGACACTTAACCTTACATCACTAAACGTCAATGGGGTGAACATCCCTAATATGATGCTCCCCTCAGAGAGCTAAAGAGGCAATGAGCTGGTATCATATTCATACAAGAAACTCATATACAGCGCTCATTCCAGGGTCAAGTAGCGCATCACGTCTACACCAGGGCCTATGTATCCAGAGCTCAGACTAAGAGGCATGGCGTGGAAAGTCTTACACAAAAACTGCCCGCTTCAGGTGCAGAAAACACAAACTAACACAGACGGTAGATACCTAATCCTCACGGGAACCATCCATAACACGACATATCATTTGATCAATGTATATGCACCTAACAACCCGAGAGCAGATTTCTGGATCAACTTAGGCAATCTTGTTTTAACACTCCCCCATTGGGTGTTGGTGGTGGTAGGAGACCTTAGCGAGACGCTGTGCCCAACGATTGACTGCAGTCAGCTGAAATCCCAGGGCAGGGGGGTCAGCAGTGGCGTGCTAATGGGGAGGCGGAGATTCATGCGTCCGCCCCGGGTGCCACCAGGGTGGGGGGTGCCATGACCAGAAGTGCCGCCCCCCCTCATGCTGCAGCCGCCTGAGCGCTCTGTAGAGAGCCTCAGGCGGCTGCAGCTTTGCCCGCCCGGGCGCAGCATGAGAGGGGCTGACAGGAGGGAAACGCTCAGCACTCCCTCCTGTCACTCCCTTGCTGTAGCGTGGCCGAGCCCTCTATGGTCCGCGGGTACACGGAGCATCTGTCTCCTGTACCCCGGACAAACAGGAAGTACGCACTCAGTGTGCACTTCCTGTTAGTCCGGCCGGGTACTGGAAACAAAAGCTCCCTGTACCCGCAGACCATACAGAGCTCGGCCACGCTACAACAAGGTGAGGGGGGAGAGGGAGGAATAAAGAAATAAAGAGGGGAGGAGAAATTGGGAGGGAGGAATAAAGAAATTGGGAGGGGGAGGAATAAAAAATTGGGAGGGAGGAGGAATAAAGAAATTGGGAGGGGGAGAAATAAAGACATTGGGAAGGAGAAAGAAATTGGGGGGAAGGAATAAAGAAAGAAATTGGGGGGAGGAATAAAGAAAGAGATTGGGGGATTAAGAAAGATTGGGGGGATAAAGAAAGAAATTGGGAGGGGGAAGAAAGAAATTGGGATGGGGAAAAAAGAAATTGGGGGGGAGAGAAGGAAATTGGAGGGGGAGAGAAGGAAATTGGAGGGAGGGAGAGATTGACATTCATCACACACAATGCACCACTTGCACACAGAAAAACACACAATGCATTACACACACAGACACACATACACAAGCAATGCAACCGTTACACACAATGCATCCCTTACATACACAGAAACACACAATGCATTCATCACACAAACTCAATGAACCTCTTACACACACTCAATGCATTCCGCACATACACAGAAACACACCTTGCAGCCCTTACACATACAAACACAGATTCACACAATGCATTCCTTACACACATATCAAGTAGTTATGTCCCAAACGGTTTGCCGAACGGTTCGCGAATGGTTTGCGAACGGTTCGCCACAGTTCACCACGAACGGTTCGCCACGGACTCCAGTCAGCAGACACATTCAAGCCAATCAGCAGCAGACCCTCCCACCTCCTGGACAGCATCCATTTTGAAGCTGCATTCTTAGTGAGCTGTCCAGGAGGTGGGAGGGCCTGGGAGGGAGGGTCTGCTGCTGATTGACTGGAATGTGTCTGCTGACTGGAGTCCGTGGTGAACCGTTCGTGGCGAACCGTTAGTGAACCGTTCGGCGAACCGTTTGGGATATCACTAATATAACATTCCCTACACATTCCACCCCCTATGATCAAACTCATTGGTGGAACATGAAGGTGGACCCTGGGACCCAGACCTTGAGCTGTGTAAAGGCCCCCCAAAAAATGGAGCTGAGAACATTGATTTTTGTGACCACAGTTACAAACAGCCTCCAGAGAGCCTGTTCTGCACCAGACCAGTGGAGCCAGATGGCAGCTAGAGCCCATCATCATCCTCATCTGCTTGTAAGTAGGCAATCTAGTTTATTATTCGTGGCACTAAGCTCTAATTTACCTCACATTAAAGAAACACTATAGTCCCCAGAACCACTGCAGCTTAATGTAGTGGTTCTGGTGTCTATAGCCTGTCCCTGCAGGCATTTTAATGTAAATACGGCAGCACTGCAGCACTGGCGTTAGTTAACATGGCAGATCATATGGGTGGGGCATTGTGATGTCACATGGGGGGGCCAGGGGGTGCCAAGCACAGGATCCGCCCCGGGTGCCAAATGCTCTAGGTACGCCCCTGGGGGTCAGGATAAACTATTGCAAAAATGTATCACCCACACGGGTTATTGGATACATGGAGACTCCAGCACCCCAGTACAAAAGATTACACCTTCTATTCAGAAGCCCACTTCACCTATTCACGTATTGACCTCTTTTAAATCAGCCAAATGGCATGCACTATACCCAGACCGCGAGCGTAAATCTGATATCATGGTCCAACCACGCTGATATCGGACACCACCTCCGGCTACCAGGGGCGTGCCCACTGTGGAAATGGAGACTTAATAGCCGTCTCCTCAGGGATCAAGAGACAACTGAGCAAGTACGCTCGGAAATCAAAATCTATTTCCAAAACAATCAGACCCCCGAGCTAGCCCCCACAATGATATGGGCCATCCACAAAGTAGTCTTCCAAGGCTTCTTAATTAAGCTAGCCACAGCCGGTAAAAAGTGCATGTCTGAGAGAATGTTTGAGCTACAAAAAGCACTACGCAAAGCGGAAATGCAACACAAACAAACGCTGACCCCTCTGAAACTAGTGGAGCTAAGGGAATCCGACAACTGCTTAGCGAGCTAGCCGTAGAGGTCTTGGGGAGGGACCTTCTGCAAACCAAGAGGCTCTTTTATGAAAGATCCAATAACGTAGATACACTCTTGGCCCAAGCCCTGAAGCCCAGGCAAAAACACAATTTGATCACCGCACTCAAAGACACCCAAAGTAACATAGTCACCAATCCAGTAGACTTTAACAAAGTCTTTACTGACTACTTTACACATGTTTTGTAATCACTCACCCACAATGACCAGTAACAATGTAGAATACACACTGTCAGTACAGGCTTGTCTTGACAAAATAAGATTACCAACAACTAAAGTCAACCTCATTGATGCCCTGGGGGCCCCAATCACCTGCGAGGAGGTTGATCTGGCCATATCAGCCCTTAAAGGCAACAAAGCCCTTATGCACAGAGGTCTTCATTGTATTCAGCACAAGCCCCCCACAAAATTTCTAGGCCTGGGAGATAATTGCGTTATAGATCGGTACGCTAATTATCTCCCAGGAACAGAGAGCAAAACACAAAAATATAAAAACTTAAAAACACCTCAAAACATCATAAAAATATATCATAACCCCACAAATAATATATCTTTAAATAGCCCTGATCTGAGCAGCCAAGTTCTACGAATAGCGCTGAGATCCATACAGTGTAGGGGGAACTCCATCGTGTTAAAGTTCTGACCGGCCGCACACGTGGTCCTATACCCGAAATAGTTCCAGGGAGTATGGTGCTTTTGCCGGTCAACTATCGGGTGCTCCTGTGGCTGCAATACAGGGTGCTCCGCTTGGTTCTTAGGTAGCAGTTGTTCCCCTTAGTCTTAGGCACCTTCCCTCCAAAAAGCGCTCTCCTAGCGGATTGTGGAAGTAGTTCAAAACCGCAAACCAAGTTGTCCAGAAACTGCACGGTCACCTCATGTCGAAAACAGTACGATAACATTCGCAGCAAAGTTGCGCTGAGGTGACCAGGAACCCACAAAGTCCTCATGCCAAAATTAGTTCCATGGCAGTCGCAGCTAAGTACCATTGAGGACTATACATCGGTTTAGTTCATGAGAGCTAGCTTTCGGTTCCATTCACAAGGGAAAGAGCCAAACCAAGGGCACCCAGGGAAAGCTACTAATGGCGGCTGGGCATGGTAACTCCCAAACGGTGTACCAGACCTGGACCATAGTCGGTGGGCAGAAGGCCGGCTTCCAGACTCCTCCAGGAGTCCATGGCAAACGTACGTGGGAAGGAGCGATTGTCACACCCACCATGGATCAGGTCATTTTTAAAATAAAAGATAACTATCTAATCGAAAAACTGACAGCCCAGGTTAGAAGCACAGAGTCAGCCTTCGCAAAGGTTTGGCAATCCTGGGAGGAATACCTAGAACACTAAAGGTCTAGTTACACCAAGACAAAAGGGGCTGCTTGCCAGCCTCCTGCCCTGTAACTATGGCCCCTGTGATAAACCTTGCTTACAGACACTGTTTGTGCCTTTCTGGATTTGTATGATTACACTTTGAATTCTTGAAGCGGTTCGAAGCGGCACTTCGAACTCCCAAAGCGATTCGAAGTAGTCGGCTGGTATTCGAACATGTGGCGGCGGCCATCTTAAGCCGCAAGCCCAGTGAGCGGGGTTTGGTCGTTGAGTGTATGGAACTCAAATCGGACACTCGATGGCACGAACACTGCTAAACACATACCTTACACTGATGTTCGGCTATTCAAATGGGAATCGAACGACGTTCGGTGGGAATAAACTCCCGAGCGAGAAATATAAACTGAGCCTACTCTCAAAGCTATACGTTCGGTATTTTATATTCTGCTTCGAATCCTTGAAGTAGACCGACCACACAGCCTGATTTCCTGGAACTCTTTTCAGGCAGTAATTTTGTATGCGGTCGGTTAAAATAAGACCTTCATGGAAATCCTGAACCCCAGAACCGATATGGGGGATTTTTGGATATGTTATTCACCCAAATCGGGGCTATCAGGGGATATATATTTTATGGGGTTTCCATGAGTTTTAAAGGTACTTTTGGGGTTTTATAAAAATATGTGTTTTGCTGCCTGAGATAATTGACTTAATACAGTATCTGATGTAATTATCTCCCAGGCAGAGGGAAGGGGTTGTATGTTTGTATATGGGAGTGTCATGCATTTAAACTCTATTGTCATTATTTTATAGATCTAAAAGGCTCTGACAGAGGGAAGCGTATTGGATTTACCAATTGGACACAGTAGCCCCTAAGGGTCTAAATGAAAATGTTATATAGTCTATGTTCTTATAATACTTAATCTATCAAGACCATCATCTCTGTTCTCTCTAACACTGTAAATATTGTAAATAATTGACGTATGCATATACACAACTATGTCTCCTCTTGTGTTGAAAGATGTCTTCGTATTCATTAGGTGATTTAAGCTAGAGGCTTGTACCTGCTATGACTGTTCTACCCTTAGCCACGTTTTTCCCCTATTGGGATATTATTCACATACGTTTGTTATTTTATATACTGCCATTTTACTTGGCTAGTTTGCATGCTGTGGGTTGCTCCAAGCGAGATGGTAATCGCAGTTTTTTCCATTGTATAAGTTTTTTCTATGTTTAATGTAGACAGCATTCACATGCTTGGGTGTGATATTTCTTAAAAGAAACACACTTATTAAGAGCCCTGTCTCTAATAATCCTTATATGTATATCTAATTTGATAATCTAGTTTAATACACCCGGTAAAGTTACAGATAGCATTCATATGCTTGACATGTTTCCACCGCTTCCTCAGTTGGCCAGTTTGCTTGCCATAGGTTGCTATAATTGAGATGGTAGCTGCAATTTCTTCATTATTCTTTTGTCACTATCCTTTTTCCTGTATACAGGTCTTGCTTATGCTTAATGTAGACAGCATTTATATGCTTTGGTGTGATACCTTAAAAAAGATACACTTATTTTTATTTAGACCTTTGTCTCTGTTTTTACCTTGATAACTTTTCTTAGATATACCCCTGAAGGTAATTCAGTGTAAGATTCCTGTAAGAGTTACATACAGTATTCATATGCTTGGCATGCATGCTAATACATAGGAAGACCCTGATCTAACTAGTTTGATTTTTCTTTTAAATTATTATTACTGATCATTATTTTGGATTTATATGTACATAATGAATGAAATGTTTCTGTCCTGTTATTGCATATATTTGCCATTGCAGGGATTTGCAAATGCACCATTTATTTATTGACACTTATGTTCACGTTTTTTACTTTTTGTCCACACATTCACTTTATTTGCACTCTTTCTCTCCCTGATTATGGTGGCTATATACTAAGAAATTAGTATTCTTTATTTTTATCCTCCTTCTGACTCTTTGGTCGTACATAGCACGGTTTGTTTTTCACCTGTCACATAATTACAGGATTTACGTCCTGCACAGTGGTGATTTCGGTTTCCATAGTAACCACGCTTTAATCCGCCGTACGTCTAGACATGATGATGTCATTGGCGGTCTCAGTACACTTCCGGGTTGTATCGGGGAGAGGGATTACACTCCATTAATTGGTAAGCTAATTGATTAATGCATTACTTTTGCTATATATACACATTATTTATGCATAGGCAGTAATCTTGAAAAAGACCCGCTGGGGTCGAAACGTTGATTCTATTTGTTGAATGCCTGATTATTGATTAAATCACATTGCACTGATTTAAAGACCTGAGTGTGCATCCTGACTTTCTCCTGTTTATATATTGGATGCATTTGGATTGCACCCAAGCTATATCGCACCCTAAATCCTGGTAAGGCGAGTGCCAAGCTATCATCTATTTTATATATATATATATACTTAAAAACCTTATGTGTGTGTGTATATATATGTATATATATTTGTGTGTGTGTGTGTCATATTTAAGACCAAAGATTGGTCCACAATTATCGACAAAGCTAATTTGTTTAGATATTTGTGTTATTTTTTTTTTTTATTAAAACCCCATCTATTTTTGTGTTTAATTGCAATCTTTGTGATACATAATTTGGTTTCGCCATCACTGCCCTAATCTATTAATTTTATAATATGACAGGAGGCTTCATATTTGCATTAACTTTCTTTACTAGCTCCATAGCAGCAAAGAAAAAAACTCTTAAAGAAAAGAACCAATCAGAATGAAACAGAGGATATATAAACCCATACATATCCCATCATTCCCTCTTTCTTTGCTGCTCCATCACAAGTACAGGTCAGAGTACTACTTCTGTTTACTATTGTTTAATTTTCATTATTTACGGTTTTAGATAACTGATTGTGGTATTTGTAGTGGGGGTAGTGAGGGCTCCTTTAATTGAGGGCTCCTTTAATTAAGGGCTCCTTTAATTAAGGGCTCCTTTCATGCTTGAGGGCTCCTTTAATTAGGGGCTCCTTCACTGTTGTGGGGCAGATTAGTTCCTTGAGGGTATCCCCCCTCTCTCCCCACAACCCACTCCCCTCCCTCCCTCCCCCCAGTGGCAACGTTCGCCACCTTTGTCTACCGCCCGGCTCACACTGCTGTGTGCACGGAGCCGGGCAGGCTGAGGCAGCATACACACGGAGGGCTGCCTCTATACAGCCGCCCTCCCAGTGCTGCCTCTTCTCCGTTCGCGCACTACTGAGCGCGAACGGAGGTTGTACTTCCCGCCCTGCTGTCAGTCAGGGCTCGAGGGAGGTCCAGGGCTGCCTCCGTTCGCGCTTTACAAAGCGTGAACGGAAGCCTTCTCCCTCTCCTTACTGACTCCTCTCCGTTCGCGCAATACATAGCGCGAACGGAGGTTTTGTTTCACCCAGTGCTGCCTCCGTTCGCGCTTTAACACAAAGCGCGAACGGAAGCCTTCTTCCCATTGTGGACTCCTCCGTTCGCATTTCAGCGCGAACGGAGGTGTATGTGCACATACCTGCATTCGGCAGTTTATTCGAATAAACTTGCCGAACGCACTTTTGCCTCCATTTAGCCCTGCACAATTTTCCCGGGCTTTTAAAGGGCCAGACATCGCGAGAATCGCGGGGGCCATTTTGTGGGTGCTGTGTTGCTGTGGAATGAGCCTGTGTTCTGGAGAGCTCCTGGGTTTGCCTGCTAAATCTGCTGCAAAAGTGAGTTTTACTGTTAGAGCCTTAAAGGGGACCTGTATATTTTGGGTTTGTTAACCCTTTGGGAGTGGATTTGCCAGTCAGTTTTGTACTAGTAACCTGGCACGGGGTGAGCCCCCACATCAGTGCTGCTTACGGGAATTTGTTAAAGCAACTTCCCTCTTTGCTGGGTGAGCCCCAGTGCGAGTCCGACTTTCACGCTACTAAGCGTTATACCCTAACCGGCCGCCGGCCTCTTATTCATACCCTCCCATACCGTCCCCATACCTCTCCGCCCTGTGCCGGCCAGCTAATTCATAACATGGAAAAGGAGACACAGATTTCCGCGGACCAGATGCAAGCCATGATTAATGCGGCGGTAGCCGCATCACTGGAAAAGGCCATGGCACTGGTACTCCCGACGGCCTCTGACACCCTCAAGCCGCCTGGCAAGTCTAGTCGCCCCAGGGACGAGTCCGGTGACTCCGATGACTCCTCCCCAGAGAGGCACCGCCCGACGAAACGCCACTGGAAGGGCGAAGGGTCTCGGAAAGCCCCAAAAAAGGGCAAGGCGCCTCTCAAGCGCCATGCACCGATAACACCCGTGCCTACAACATTTCCCGACGCCTCCTCGGAGGAGGAAGGTGAGATGCCCCATACCCTGTCCGTCCTGGATGAGTGGCAGGCAGAGGCGTCGGATTCGGACGACGGCGATTGGGGATCCAACGCCTATGTCACAGAAACATTCCTGGGTGAGCCCCAGAAGACAGGATTGGCAGAGTCTTCCACGACATCTGCTAGCCAGGAGCAAGAGACATTCCTGGATACTACGGGACAACGCATGTTCGATCCCAGGAACATCCGCCACCCCCGCTGCGGGGAGTGGGCTCCACCCGACCACCTGGTGAAGTTCATGCACTTCTGGATTCGGAAACCGCTCGAGAAGCACGTCCGCAAGAGGATGCGGGCTGAGTGCCCTAGACCTTCCCTGCCAGACAAAGTGGCGTTTACGCCAGAGTTTGACCAGCTAATGCTGACGTTTATGGAACGGGGTGGTCGCGATCCACGCAGGGGGATCGAACGGAGCTTTAAAGGGGCACAAGACAAGCTCCTAGATGCGATGGGGCCGCTGGCCCGAGTGATGTATTTGGCTGATGACGCCTATACCAGAGCGGACTCGTTTACCGCGGACATGGTGCGCACCTGGGCGCATGATATTAGAGAGTGGACCCAGCAGGGCTTCTGCTTCCTGGGGAATACGAATGCGGCCCTTTCAACAGAACGGCGCCGCGCAGCACTGTTTCGAATTGACCCGAAGCTGGCCGACCTTGGGATAAAAGAATTAGGCCCCCTGGCACAGGGCAAACTTTTCGGAGAGGCGTTTATGAAGGAGCTCAATAAACACGTGAACGTGTTCACGTCCCTAAACAAGGCTCGTACCTCTATGAGAAAGGTCTTCAGGGGCAACCCCTCCAGGGGTGTTTTTTCAAGGGCTGGTCGGCAGCGGGGCCGTGCCACCAGCCGCTTCTGGCCATCGGGCCCCCGCACTGGACCTCCGCAACAGTTTTAACCTCAACTGTCCTACCCGGATTCCGGAACGAGGCAGTCTTACTCCCACTTCCAAAGGGGAACAGATAGAGGCCGGGGAGCCCGCGGATGTACCCGCGCACGATTTCCCACAGGTAAGGAAACCAAATACACCTATGTCTTTAATAACCATGACTGCCGGCCGTGTTTCTCTTTTTTCCCAGAATTGGGCAGGTCTCACCACGGACGCATGGGTGTTGCAAACGGTCGGGGGCTATCGCATCGAACTGCAGTCGCGCCCCGTGCAACACGGGCCTCCACGGCCCCTATGCCTCACCACCACGGACTCCCAACTCATCGAGTTGGAACTGGACGAACTCCTCAGGAAGGGGGCGATACAACCCGCACATTCCCCGGGGGGTTATTTCAGCAACATGTTCCTCGTGCGAAAAAAGACCGGAGACTTCCGACCGGTGATCAGTTTACGAGACCTGAATGCCCACGTGGTCTACCGCCATTTCAAGATGGAAGGCATTCACCTTCTAAGGGACTTGCTACAAGAAAGGGACTGGTTTACGCATCTGGACCTCAAAGACGCATACCTATCAATTCCTATTCACATAGACAGCTGGCCACTACTTTGTTTCCTCTGGCACGGATCCCCGTGGCAATTCACCTGCCTCCCTTTCGGCCTCAGCTCAGCCCCCTGGTGCTTCACGAAAATGCTGAAACCAGTGGTAGCTCACCTCAGGGCTCGAGGCATCAGATGTATCATCTATTTGGACGATATACTCATCTTCTGCAACACAAGCGACAAAGCGTCACGTCACACCGAATACACGATCCAATTGATAGAATCGCTGGGATTTATTGTCAACAGAGAGAAATCTGCACTGACTCCCAAACGCACGGTTCAATTCCTGGGCTTCGACATAGACTCCAGATCCTGCACTCTGCATTTGCCGAGGACCAAAGTAACGGCCATCAGAAAAGAGATACGCAACGTCCTCAAACTCGAGTCCATTCCCCTCCGCCAGCTAGCACGGATTGTGGGTCTGCTATCCTCCTCCATCCAGGCCATCTTTCCAGGACCACTACATTATCGGGCCATGCAACGGTTGAAAGCCCGCTTCCTCAGGCAGAACCCCACATACAACCAGCCGGTTCCCCTGACGGACGAGGTCCGCCAGGAACTCTAATGGTGGCTCAACTGCATGCAGGCATGGAATGGTCGAGCCATTTTTGGCAGCCACCCGGACTTCATTCTGGAATCCGATGCGAGCCGATGGGGATGGGGCGCCACGGATGGATCTACGTCCACAGGCGGGATCTGGACGAACCAGGAACTCACCATGCACATCAACGGTTTGGAGTTACTAGCTGGATCCTTCGCCATTCGCAGCCTGACAAAAGGACAATCCAACTGCTGTATCCTCTTGCGGATGGACAACTTTTCCGCAGTACGCTACATCAACCATCTAGGAGGGACTCGCTCACAAACATTAGCCAACCTGACGAAGGAGATCTTCGACTACTGCCTCCCACGCAACATCTCGATCAAGGCCGAGCACCTACCAGGGGAATCGAATTTGACCGCGGATTGGTACTCACGACATTGGAGAGACGCCAGCGACTGGCGATTGAACCCCAAGATATTCGCGCAACTGAACGAACAGAGGGGACCATTCACCCTCGACCTCTTTGCGTCACGCAGCAACCGTCAACTACCGAGATTTTACAGCTGGCTCCCGGACCCGGAGTGCATAGCGGTGGACGCATTCACTCAACACTGGCCAAGTCAAGGGGCGTATGCCTTCCCTCCATTCGCACTGATTGCGAGAGTACTTCATCACGTTCAACAACGGGGAGTGATGCTAACACTATTGACGCCATTATGGCAGAGCCAGCCCTGGTTCCCCGACCTACTCGAATTATCGTGCAACGACCCACTCCTCCTACCGAACGATCCATACCTGCTCAAGGATCCACTGGGCAACCCACACCCCATGCTTCTGGACGATCACCTACAGCTGGTAGCCTGGACGCTTTCAGGGGCGCATGGGACACCCACGGATTATCGGCGGCAGCTAGGGACCTACTGTGGGATTCATGGGCCCCGGGAACTAGGAGAAACTACCTATCGGCATGGAGAACTTGGTCCAATTGGTGCGTGGGACGGAGTTTGGATCCCTTTACGGCTCCTGTACCCGAGATATTGAATTTTCTCTCATCCATCTTCGCAGAAGGTAAATCGTATCGCACCATCAACGTCCTCCGGTCAGCCATATCTGCAGCTCACGTTCCGTCACAGGGGAGAGCAATCGGACAAGACCCTTTGGTTTGTCGTCTGTTACGGGGGATTAAAATGAGACGCCCTCCGACACCAAAATATCACCATCTCTGGGATGTGGAGGTGGTGCTCCGGTTCCTGAAGGAATGGCCTTCAAATGAACACTTATCCTTGAAACAGCTGACGGCGAAATTCACCTTCCTCCTGAGCCTGGTTTCATTTCGCCGTGTCTCAGATATACGGGCGTTTGATGCTGATGCCTTTTCTATTGGCCCAGATGGGGTTACATTCCAACTCTCCCGGAGAACCAAGACCGATTCGAAGTCGGTATTTTACCCGTTCTTTACATCGGAACCCCAACTATGTGTGGTTAGGGCATTGAGAACATATATAGAGACAACGGGGTCGCTACGACGACCAAACTCCCAACAACTACTGATATCATACGTGAAACCTCATGGTCCAGTGTCGACCACCACACTATCCAGATGGATTAGATGGATCCTCACCCTGGCGGGGGTGGAATCGTCCTTCGGAGCGCACTCCGTACGAGGTGCGGCGGCGTCTTCAGCTTTTTTGGCAGGAGCATAGTTGGCGGATATTCTCCAAGCAGCGGACTGGTCACGCGAAACGACATTCCGGACCTTTTACTTCCGACAGTCGACTAATGCCGCATTCTCCCTTCTGCCTATGCTTTAAAAATGCAAATATGAAGCCTCCTGTCATGTTATAAAATTGAAGATTATGCTAGCGCAGTGTACTGATAATCTTAATTTTAATAATGACAGGAGGCGAATATTTTCCCACCCTTTCTCTTGATGTTCCCACCCAAACGACGAGGTAAGTTATGATCCATAGGGATAATGGTAACCGTTGTTGCATTTGGGTTTCAAGGGCTGTAGAATAGAGAGTGTGGTTATCTAGATATTGTAGTTCAATAAGATCACGGGTATTGTAGGATGAGACGTATTGGAATGACGGAGAATTTACACTTCTAATCAGATATTTGGGGTCTACGGTTAATTCCGTATCACTGATACTAGTCTCTCTTTCCTTTCAGTTTAACAAGCTTCATGGAGGACGGAGTGACTGAAAATCCTTCTCATTCTCAACAATGAAATAACTACGTCAAGCTGGAGCAAGTTGGATTTGACACGTTTGTCATATTTCTTTGGGACTTGTGATGTCGCATTACTCAAGAGGGAATGATGGGATATGTATGGGTTTATATATCCTCTGTTTCATTCTGATTGGTTCTTTTCTTTAAGAGTTTTTTTCTTTGCTGCTATGGAGCTAGTAAAGAAAGTTAATGCAAATATTCGCCTCCTGTCATTATTAAAATTAAGATTATCAGTACACTGCGCTAGCATAATCTTCAATTACATTGCAATATAAAGAGACAGTCATAAGTGTGTTATGGGAGAATACTGCCATCTTGTGGTTCATTATGTTATCTCAAAAACACTTAATTTGCATTATTTTCCCAATACATGGGTCAACGATATGTATCCGATATATTTGTATGTTATAATATGTGTATGTTATATGTGAGTAGCTAAAGTATGAATTTGTACTTTATAGTACTACTTCCTGTTATTATTTCCCCATTTATATGTAATTTAATGTTTATTAAATCGATGGTTTTAAGAAGAGACGTGGAAAAGTAGAAGTATATATTTTTGTCTGAGTTGTCTTAGATAGTAGTTAATCATTATTAATCTACCTATTCAACCAACCTACCTATTCTACCTAATACACAAGTATGTCCGGTCTAGGCCCCTACGCTCTGTTACGGCTAACCTCTGTTCGTACTCCCACCTCTGATGCTCACCTTCAAGACTTCTCTAGGGTTTCACCGTTCCTATGGAACGCCCTTCCCATCTCTGTTAGACTCTCAACCAGTCTCCACTCCTTCAAAAAAATCTTTGAAAATTCACTTCTTCAGCTTTCTCTCCCAGCACCCTTATTCCTTTCCTGCAACTGTCATCAAAACAACACCTAGCCTTCAGTGAATACTATCCTAGCAACCTAAAAGTGATCAGTCCCCCATTACCATATGAGGTAAATGACAGGCACTCAATAAATATTATCAAAAGAAGTGATAGAGAGGACATGGATAATTGTATGAAGATAATCCAACCTCCTAACTTCCTGTTTCTCATAAAGACACCGTCCTTTTACTGGACTCCGAATGGATGACCTGGAAAGTGATCTCCCTTGTAAAAGCTCCCCACAAGGGGATTATTGTGCTTGTTTAAGATTGCCTATTACTTGTCATTACTGGTACGGAATTGCTAATTGAGTATCATGATGCTCTTGCTATCCGTCTTAATTATTTTTCGGGATTGCAATTTGTTTATATGGCATCGACCTCAATAACCTTTGGCACAATGGTGTCACAGGCAGATACATTTACTGATCTTTCTTCTTTGGAAATACATAATCATTATGTGAGGTGGGTTGTATGAATTGTCTGATAAAACTAGTCATTGCTGGGTTTATGGGTACGCTCCACATTTCATGGGACATGGTTAATCTTTTTAGATGTACCATGGTCTCTGAAATCTCTTTATGAACCAAATCATATAAGACTGGATTTAAAGGTTTTGTTCAAAATGGGGGAATTAGACCCCAAGGACACTGCTCCAGCTAATTATGACAACTCCAAACACATCATAATAAATGCAGTTTTATTATATTTTAATATGATAACTATGCATCACTTTGTTTAAATAAATGTTATGCTAATATATGTTTTTAAACAAAAAGTGCTTGATAGTGAAGAGGTAAACAAATATTTGTGCACAATTTTCATGAAAATTAGAACATTTTAGGAATAAATAGCAGGGCTTTTAATATATATATTGGCTTAAAATTTACATTTCGCTTGTCTAATCTCCACAGTTGTTTCTCACAGACATACAATACTTCAAATACTATTTACTGGTGCAATATATATATATAAAGTGGACAGTCAATAAAAAGCACCAGACTCTAGTACGTGTCAGTTTGTTGGTGTTACTGAGACAGGATCCTGTATATATAGCTGAGTCTGTAAGAGAATAGCGCAAGACTACCATAAAATATACAATAAAAAACCTGACAAAAAATGATCAGAACTCTTCACTGTGTCTGTCTTCAAAGTGATATATCCATTAGATGTTCCGGGATGAAAACAAAAACAGGTTGTATGTTGGATTCTGTAGGGATAACTGTGGGACATAATATTAGTGTCCAGGGTTTATTAAAATTTCCCAAGCTAACTATATGGGAGAAGATAAATCCTGATCCTGGAGAGATGGATAACATAAGAAACTGTTCATAGTGTTGTCGACATGATGGTCTCAAGAGGTTGAACCCGTCTAAATTTTTCATGCAAACTGTATTCATTGTTCTTCTCAGTCTCTGAGATAAGTATTAGCTCACATGCATATTTTTTAATACTTGGCTGGTTGTCCAAGATCTTTTTTTTCTCATTGGGACTGCTGTCTTCCAGGTCATCAATGACTACGTATACATTGTCCCATCCTGTACAGAAAAACACAGAGAGAAAATAATAACCCACAAGATATTTTACGTATTAATATGATAACATATATCCAGATTGTGATCATCTTACCCAACAACCCAGACATTAATTTCAGTTCTTCGTCATACAGAGAGTCCGTCACGTCTGTGACATTAATTCCACCTCTGTTCTTAGTGTGATACAATATTCCAATTTTGCACAAAGAAACATCTTCTATAAACTGTAATAGTCCATTGTTTGAAATATGAAAGGACTGAACGCCTGTACCCTGATCTCTGAAACCCTCAGATTGAAGCAATATCTTAAGCCATTTATAATCACTCTCAGCCGATCTGGAGAATATCCCAATAGAATAGGGTGAGCTTGACTTCTGTTCCTGTTACATAAAGGAAACAAAGTGTCATATTTTACCAGTACACAACATATTACCCTGTATACCTGTCACACCTGGTGGCCATGGGAACATTCCAGGTAAGTGATTTAGAATTCTTTCAGGGATGTCGTAACTTGCCTGTTTCCTAGGCACCAATGAGCGGGACCTTCATCATGTGTGTTGGATCATCCACATTTAGTTTTTTAATTATTTTGCTTATATAATTTCTTTAATCTAATTTTTCACATTAAGCAAAAATGGCATTTTATATAAGACATAACGTAGGCCTTCTTGGACGAAGAAAATAATGACTATAAATTGTACTCTGTTTTTATCGACTCTAGTGTACAAGGTGGAAAGAGCAAAACATTGTTACAGTCTAGGAAAAGTGGGTGACGGAGGATATCATGAAAAATACATTTTAGGAAAGAAGGGGGTGGGAAAGTAGAAAGGCAGATAAACCTGTCATTTAGGAGCACACTGTCATAGTCAAGCATCCAATGGTCCAAAATTGAAACAGGATGTCTGTATATGAATCTCTGGAGAGGTTTACTGGTCATTAAATAGTTGGTGGTTTTATGGCTTTGTACGGCCATAATTAACTCTGACATCCTACAAACACAGTCCCCCAGACTGTTAAGTCTTAAGCACTGAAAAGGTTAATTAACAAACTAGTTTAACCAGTTCAGAGTACGGAGGCAGGTTGATGGGTAGGGAATAGGTTAGAAGGAGGGACATGCTACTATGGTTATTGTGAAGCTGTTTTGTGGATGTTGGACAGTTGGTTTTTCTGAGTTTGTGGGGGATAGCAGCGATGTAGCAGTACAGGGGCACAGGCAGCCTTACTAATTATTTCTAAGGCTGCAAGTATGCGCACTAGGCCCATATTTTGTATCCTTTTTTATCTTATCTAAGATCCTGGGACGTTAAGTATAAAACTGTATAATTGTTATAGCTTTTACACTTGTGTTTAGATTAAAGTGCTTGAATAGCCTTTGATTTGTTTTAACTGCAATCGTGGGAAATATACGATTAGCAATGCAAAGGATAATCGTCTAGTTAGTATTACAAGTGTTTAACTAGAACATGTTTATTAATATTTGTTATATTTTCTTTAACTTCTTTTTATTTAACATTATTTTTTGCTGAGTAATTATCATTTGAGGATTACCTATTAAGATATAACTCTGCCTAAAAAACCTTATGCAGCCAATCATCTAAAATTATAGCTGTACAACATAAAAGGGTTGGTTTTGAATGCTTGCAAATATATGTGGGCTTCCAATAATTCTATTGTTAGTGTAACTAAGTGATGTCTATTGTTAGTGTAACAAGGTTACACCTGGACACATGACTGGTGGCCATCTTGATGCTCTTTGAAGCACATAGTCAGTAGCCATCTTGGTTCTCCTAGAAGTTTAACACAGTAGTTACTGTCAAACCCTTTAAATTGTGCAAACTAATTCATCCAAAACCACAAACCACAACACCTATACTAACTCTTCATCAACCCTACCCCTAACGCTATGTTTACACTAACTCCAATCATGCACCCACCCAAGCTTAACCCTGCACTATCCCTAACCCAGTACTAACCATATTTCATCAGTAACCCTTCCCCTTCACTAACACTAACCATACGCTAACCTTCATCCTAACCCTACACAAAACCTAGCCCTAACCTAACTCTAACCCTAATCCTAGCTCAGTGGGATTCCCTATGCTGAGATCAATAGTGACATCAGCAGAGGCATTTAGCAGCCTTTATTCCTACTGCTGAATATGCTGGCTTTCTGCATTGTTACAAGTCAGCAGCTGCGAGTGAGTGCTCACCATACATACTGCATATTGTCCACATCTGTACCCCTAAAAATAAATCCTTCATAAATCAGGTCTGGATGGCAGTGGATGTGACTAAAGCATTTTGAGAAGGGAGGTCTACTAAAGTACTGATAGGTGAGCTAAAAAAAAGTCTTGATACCAATGAAACCTGTCCTGGAGCTTAGGAGGACCGAGAAGATGCAGATGTCATGTAGCCTTCTCCTTCAGAACTCTGTAAAGGGGGGGATAACTTACAGAAAACATCTGGAACTTGATTTTTCTATATCTATTGAAACCAAAAACTCTGATAATAGCTACTGGTCATTTATGTTTATATTTGTTGTGTGTAAACCTTATAATACACAGATTCAATGTAGAAATTTCATTACAGGGGAATATGGGTATACCAACGCCCCCTAGTGGACAGCAGATTAACAGTGAGAACGGTATGTTATAAACCAAATTCTATAATAAAGACTCTAATGCAGCCAATCCATAACCATGTGGTTTCCTCCAGGAAACAGACATAAAACGGCAACTTTTTGTAACATTTTGTAGATTTTTTTGTTGGCCTTAGAATGTCTTAGAAGTATGTAGAGTAGACCGATTATACATTACTCACCATGTCGCATATTGGAAGATCTTCCATTCCTGTATTTTCATCATCATTAACTAAGGGGTAGACAGATAAATGAAATCTTAATGAAAGACCATTAATAAATTAATTATACAAGAAAAACGCCACGATCAACGTGAGCAAAGATAACTTTATTGGCATTGACGAGTCAGGGATGTGGAACTGCATCACAATGGGAGCCAAAACACATTCTGGCCTTAGAAATCATTCCTTTGAGTAAGATTTTGGCTTGAATATAGGAATGAGAGAGCCATTCTGTGATGATTGATGCTCACCGACGTGGAAAAATGTAAATGATACAATTGCACGTGATTTTTTTCTTTTTATTCATCCATTTATCCTAATGGAAATACTGATATCTTTTAATACGTCCTCGTTTTTGAAATATTAGTTTAGAGGCAATACAAGAATAAATAAATAAGATCAGATACCCTACCCATAGGAATATGTAAGTTATTATTAACAATATAACTCTCTAAAATTAGTATTTAGCTTTGATAAGGGATTGCAATTTTTAAACTGGTATTTCTGTCCCTATGTTAATATTTTGTGCCCTATGTGAAATATTAGGAGGGCTGGAAACCTCCTGCCTTGCAGGTCAGTACAGATCTCAGTGTGGATTGTCTAACACAGTGCAGGCGATATATGGGTATGAGAGATGGAGGTCCTGTAGCTGTGAGTTGTGACATCATATTTCCCTGCAACCTCCATCAGTGTGACCTGCACAGTATGACATCATATCTCCCTGCAACCTCCATCAGTGTGACCTGCACAGTATGACATCATATCTCCCTGCAACCTCCATCAGTGTGACCTGCACAGTATGACATCATATCTCCCAGCAACCTCCATCAGTGTGACCTGCACAGTATGACATCATATCTCCCTCCATCCTCCATCAGTGTGACCTGCACAGTATGACATCATATCTCCCTGCAATCTCCATCAGTATGACCTGCACAGTATGACATCATATCTCCCTGCATCCTCCATCAGTATGACCTGCACAGTATGACATCATATCTCCCTGCAACCTCCATCAGTGTGACCTGCACAGTATGACATCATATCTCCCTGCAACCTCCATCAGTGTGACCTGCACAGTATGACATCATATCTCCCTGCAACCTCCATCAGTGTGACCTGCACAGTATGACATCATATCTCCCAGCAACCTCCATCAGTGTGACCTGCACAGTATGACATCATATCTCCCTCTATCCTCCATCAGTGTGACCTGCACAGTATGACATCATATCTCCCTGCAATCTCCATCAGTATGACCTGCACAGTATGACATCATATCTCCCTGCATCCTCCATCAGTATGACCTGCACAGTATGACATCATATCTCCCTCTATCCTCCATCAGTGTGACCTGCACAGTATGACATCATATCTCCCTGCATCCTCCATCAGTATGACCTGCACAGTATGACATCATATCTCCCTGTAATCTCCATCAGTATGACCTGCACAGTATGACATCATATCTCCCTGCAACCTCCATCAGTGTGACCTGCACAGTATGACATCATATCTCCCTCTATCCTCCATCAGTGTGACCTGCACAGTATGACATCATATCTCCCTGCAATCTCCATCAGTATGACCTGCACAGTATGACATCATATCTCCCTGCATCCTCCATCAGTATGACCTGCACAGTATGACATCATATCTCCCTGCAACCTCCATCAGTGTGACCTGCACAGTATGACATCATATCTCCCTGCAACCTCCATCAGTGTGACCTGCACAGTATGACATCATATCTCCCTGCATCCTCCATCAGTATGACCTGCACAGTATGACATCATATCTCCCTGCAACCTCCATCAGTGTGACCTGCACAGTATGACATCATATCTCCCAGCAACCTCCATCAGTGTGACCTGCACAGTATGACATCATATCTCCCTCTATCCTCCATCAGTGTGACCTGCACAGTATGACATCATATCTCCCTGCAATCTCCATCAGTATGACCTGCACAGTATGACATCATATCTCCCTGCATCCTCCATCAGTATGACCTGCACAGTATGACATCATATCTCCCTCTATCCTCCATCAGTGTGACCTGCACAGTATGACATCATATCTCCCTGCATCCTCCATCAGTATGACCTGCACAGTATGACATCATATCTCCCTGTAATCTCCATCAGTATGACCTGCACAGTATGAGATCATATCTCCCTGCAACCTCCATCAGTGTGACCTGCACAGTATGACATCATATCTCCCTCTATCCTCCATCAGTGTGACCTGCACAGTATGACATCATATCTCCCTGCAATCTCCATCAGTATGACCTGCACAGTATGACATCATATCTCCCTGCATCCTCCATCAGTATGACCTGCACAGTATGACATCATATCTCCCTGCAACCTCCATCAGTGTGACCTGCACAGTATGACATCATATCTCCCTCTATCCTCCATCAGTGTGACCTGCACAGTATGACATCATATCTCCCTGCATCCTCCATCAGTGTGACCTGCACAGTATGACATCATATCTCCCTGCAACCTCCATCAGTGTGACCTGCTCAGTATGACATCATATCTCCCCGTAACCTCCATCAGTGTGACCTGCACAGTATGACATCATATCTCCCTGCATCCTCCATCAGTGTGACCTGCACAGTATGACATCATATCTCCCTCTATCCTCCATCAGTATGACCTGCACAGTATGACATCATATCTCCCTCTATCCTCCATCAGTATGACCTGCACAGTATGACATCATATCTCCCTGCATCCTCCATCAGTGTGACCTGCACAGTATGACATCATATCTCCCTGCATCCTCCATCAGTGTGACCTGCACAGTATGACATCATATCTCCCTGCATCCTCCATCATTATGATATGTGCCGTTGACAGATTATTCCCAGAAATCTGGTACAATCTGTTTTGTTTTTATTGAAGGACACAGTTGCTCCCTAGCGGTTATTTGTAAGTTCTAGATATCTACATATTCATCCCTTATATACAGATTGAGACGCTAAACTTCCAGATGGTTAAAGAACGCACAGATTGTAAATATTTCTTGTAGCTGACCATTCATGTATTTATTTGTTCTTTGTGTTTATTGTATTTAATTATTAGTTTGTTTATTGTATTTATTTATTGCAGTTGAGTATTTAGTTTCTATTAAATTGTATTTTAAACTTTCTAATAAAGGTTGTTATATTTTACCTACATATGATAGTGCCGTGTTCCCGACTTTCTTCAGCTAACCTGTAGCGGAGCGCTAGTTTAACATAGACTTTCCTCCGCTGGTATTCCAATAGTTACTCAGGAACAAGCAGGATAGAAGCACAGCATAAACAGTAAACAGAGTAATCCACGAATCTCCCACCACCTTTCCCAATAACTGGACGACACGTGGTATCAGGAGCAGAAATGAATTTTTAATCCCATACTCTGCTTTTATATACTTCTCCCATGCAAGGGATACACCCACAAAGAATAAGGCATCAGCCAATCCAGGGCTGGATACAGTATACATTTTCCCTCCATTCAGCCTGAGAGATAACTTAATTACATAGAAGTTATAGAACACATTTTTTTACATATACGGATTACCTGAAAATTGGATGGACTAACCTCTGAGGACTGTATACACGGCCTATCCACATATCTGTGAGAAGTTTTTTATACTTTTTTGGACATTTTATTATTGGATGGACTCTATTTCATTAACTATTTTATTTACCTTTTTATTTATCTATTTATTTTATATTTTAAGTCTATTTTTATATTGAGTATATTTTATTATTTATTATCCTTTTTTGCATAGCGCAGCCCTTCCCCTCCTTTTTTCTTCTCCGATATCACATTAAGGGTTTTTGAGGGATTCCCTTTCTAGGGTTGCAGCTCATCTCTGTTACTTAGCGCAGACTCCTCCCCCTTCTTTTTACAGTCCGCTACATAACCCATTTATATTTCTAACACTACGGGTTATCCCTCTCCATATTTTGGTCACTGCAATTTTATTAACATTTCTACAGGTTCCACTTTTCCTGTTGCAACAATTATTACCAGCTTCCTCGCTCTGAAAACATCTCAATACAACTGCTGTTATTTTAGTCCACATGGGAATGGCACCAACCTACAGTGCCTGTATTCTAGTGCCCAGGGGGGTTATTGCCCCCTCGTCCCCCTTGCCAGTCGACCCATGATATTCTGATTCCATATATCAAAGGAGCTTCATTGCTCAACAATATGATTTGTTTTCATTGTCTGTATACCTGAACGGCAATCTGTACACAATATCACTATTTATAATATATGTTTGCGGTCTATGCACCCCATGTATCCAGAAATGCCATTCTAATACTTATAAAACAAAACGTGCTCGGTAGTAAGGCAGGTAATGAATGAGCAATGGACAGAGGGTGAAAGCTATGACCAGGATTGGCTGAACGATCTCAGTCATTACTGCACACACTGCCGACCCCTGGAACCTGCTGCTAATGAGGGACATTTTGTGCATTTATTTGTTTATTTCATTTTAATGGTATATAATGGATTCAAAATGGGGCAGTAGGTGAACTAGGAGGTTGGATGAGTTCCAATAGATAATAATATTGGGAGGAAAAAGGTGGGTATCTTACCTGTCTCAGATACCAACTTTTCCAGCTTAGACAGTTGTCCTTGAATCCTTTCTAGAGCCTTCTTATAATTATCCGGTTGGAATTTCTGGTAGTCTGACTTTTCCTCTTTACTGATCGAGATAACGTGTTTTACACCTAAACGAGACAGTCTGTCCCGAATCCTGTCCATCTCCGACCTGTTTTTTCCTTGACCATCAAACACCACTAGGACTATCTTCAACTCTGCACAAAACAAGGATTAATCAAATTATTAGCCAGTAATAACACCGGATGTTTATTTAGTTTACTTACTTATCAGTTTAAAAAACCATAGGAAAGATAATCTAATAGATAACAGTGGCCCTTAACTAAGCCCAACTCATTAACTACCATGATGACTATAACTACAACATACAGAGTAATAGCCTGGTTACATGGTTGGCCAGCCTCTTAAACCCATGTTAGCCCACTGATTGGTCGCTGCAATGTATCTACAGGTTAAAATGGGACAGGAGTAAAAAATTGGAACAAGGTCAAAAACCACTGGTTCATGCAACTGACGTTTCTTTCTTAAACTCTTAATATCGAGGGGCCTCTTAATATTATAGCCAACATTTACCAACCAGCCAGTTAGCCACTAACGTAGTTGTTGCTAATCTTGGCCTCGATTTAATGTTTTTGGATACGCTTTTAAAATGATTTAAAAACCTTAAAATTATTTAATGTTTGTAAAAAAAAATACTTTAACATTTTAATATTGTTTTATACATTAATTTTAATTTATGATATATTTTTTGATATTTTAATATTTAGAAAAGATACATTTCTAAAGTTTATCTAAAAATATCAAATCATTTGAAAAGTTTAGCCAAACATTACATCAAGGCCCTTACTGTCTGTTTCCTAACTGTAAAACTTTAGAAACGCCACGGAATTAGCAGCTGACGTTTATGTTGGCAGTTTGCGTATAGTGAGAGCTAACGGACACTTAGCAGGATTCTGCTTAAGAATTCCATTACGAATTGCCTGTCTAGTGGATAACGTTCAGTCTAAGTGTCTAAGTATATCCAACATGGAACCAGCTAGCTGTCTCTTACTTCGTGGTGAGATGTCTTCCAGGTCTTTGATATGATTTTTGGTAACATGCAAGATGGAGAAAGAACACTCAGAAATCTCCTTTGTGACCTTTTTCTTTTCAGCTTTAGAAATGCCAATATGTCTGAACTCCCTTAATTCACTGTTAGGTCCCATCTCACACAGTACTGTCTGAAGCCATTTCCATCGATCCTCCGACCAGGACAATATGCCAATGCGTTGGCGTGATATCTTGAAAATAGTAAAGAATGGTAAAGAGTAGCAGAAAGAAAGACTGTATCCCATGACAGATATTACAATTCTATTCATGAATGTTAAAGATGTAAATTCACCCAAAAAGTTAAAACTCTCAGACATTGCTTGGCCATTATGATTCGTGCCAAAGTCAACCCTCCAATTATGTTTCTTGGGGCGAAAAACGATCCTCACAAAAATTACAAAAAAACAAAATGAGAGTTGTGTTCTTTGTAGGGATAATTGTGAGACAAAAGAGCAAATTGTAATTATAAAATAACACCTCAAGACAAGACACAAAATATACATGGATGCTTAGCTGAGAATCAATGTAGATTCCCCCCAAAAAAGAGAAAATTGAACAATAATAGTGTATAGAATCCAATGTAGGAATAGAAAAGGAGGAAAAGAATAATATGAACAGGTGATGTCACAGATCATTTGAAGCATGACATGCGAAACGCGTCATCCAGGGGACGGAATTGCCATACTGATTACAGACTGGTATAGACTTAAAGTCAGCATTATAGAATCCTATACTGAAGGACTACAGCTAGCCCACGCCATTCAATAACTAATCAACGTTTTGAATGCTTTAGTAAATTTGATTCATGTTATTAAGCATTGACTGTTCCTCTCCTTTTACACCAAAGCCTATTGAGTACCCATCCTTCGTACATATAGTACTGAGAGTTCATCCTGTAAGTGCTTGGCACAGCCTAATGAGTTAACCTTCATTGAACTGCATCAATCACTGCTGATATATGTCTCTGGTGTGTGTTTGTAAATCACCATTTGGGTGCACATCACGTTATTGTAATAACTATAAATTTATATACACCTTACATAGATCATTACATTGGAATTCATACGCACATTGATTATATGTACTGGCACAATATATAATTGCACACAGAGAAGCACTGTGATTTATAGGCACCTAATACTGTCATTGTTTGGATATACTGAATCATTTTAATTATATTTAATTACAGGTGCTAGATGCATACTTGCAAAAACATAATTTAGATTATGTCATTGTATGGAATGAAATGTCTTACTGTGGAAGACGTCCGTCTTAAATGCTGAGATTCTGTAAAAAGAAGGAAAAAAAGATCGGGATGAGACAATGTTTCTTATTTAAAAATCTAAAGATATAGAGGCGTACTTCATTTTTTAGAAGCTCGTTCACATAAACACATATATGAATGGCACCAAGATATGACTATTATCTTAAAGGGACACTATAGTCACCTGAACAACCTTAGCTTAATGAAGCAGTTTTGGTGTATAGAACATGTCCCTGCAGCCTCAATGCTCAATCCTCTGCCATTTAGGAGTTAAATCCCTTTGTTTATGAACCCTAGTCACACCTCCCTGCATGTGACTTGCACAGCCTTCCATAAACACTTCCTGTAAAGAGAGCCCAATTTAGGCTTTCTTTATTGCAAGTTCTGTTTAATTAAGATTTTCTTATCCCCTGCTATGTTAATAGCTTGCTAGACCCTGCAAGAGCCTCCTGTATGTGATTAAAGTTCAATTTAGAGATTGAGATACAATTATTTAAGGTAAATTGCATCTGTTTGAAAGTGAAACCAGTTTTTTTTTCATGCAGGCTCTGTCAATCATAGCCAGGGGAGGTGTGGCTAGGGCTGCATAAACAGAAACAAAGTGATTTAACTCCTAAATGACAGTGAATTGAGCAGTGAAATTGCAAGGGAATGATCTATACACTAAAACTGCTTTATTTAGCTAAAGTAATTTAGGTGACTATAGTGTTCCTTTAAGAAGCATTCCAATATGTGTCACCCAGAGAGGCATTATTAATTAATTCCTTCACACAGTCCCCCTTATAATATTATCATGGATTTCACCCACATTGGAATTGACCAATTACTTTACATAAATTGCAAATGTCGATGCCTTTCTAAGTTCATGTGACCTTGAGAATGTCCAATGGTAAGACAGTTCTTTTGTGAATAGCTGCGTAGAGAATATATAATGTTATTATGTGTGATATTTATACATAGAAAACTAAAAAATGAGTACAAATGCATTCTATGAAATACAATAAAATGATAGATACAACAAAATGTTTACAAAATATAAACTGCCATCAGCTATCACTGGTTTACTATTAAATACTAAGTAGAAAGAAGGAATACATTAATTAAATAAAAGGTCTATGGGGGAAAATATAGTATAACTACATATTTAAGAGTTGGCCAAGATTTGATGTGTGACCTTAGTGATTTAAAGGACCACTATAGTGCCAGGAAAACATACTCGGGGTCCCCCTCCTGCCCGGCTGTGGGGAGAGGAAAAGGGTAAAAACTTACTTTTTTCCAGAGCTGGGCGGGGAGCTCTCCTCCTCCGATCCTCCTCCGTTCCTCCCATTCTGCTGAATGGGCACGCGCTGCAAGAGCTGCGCGCGCCTTCAGCCGGTCTCATAGGAAAGCATTTACAATGCTTTCCTATGGATGCTTGCGTGCTCTCACTGTGATTTTCACAGTGAGAATCACGCAAGCGCCTCTAGCGGCTGTCAATGAGACAGCCACTAGAGGCTCTAGAGGCTGTATTAACCCTAACATAAACATAGCAGTTTCTCTGAAACTGCTATGTTTATGAAAAAATGGGTTAACCCTAGAGGGACCTGGCACCCAGACCACTTCATTAAGCTGAAGTAGTCTGGGTGCTTAGAGTGGTCCTTTAACCTCTAAATAATTGAGCAGTGAGACTGCAGGGGCATAATCTATAAACCACAACCACTTCATTAAGCCAAAGTTGTTTTGGTGCTTAAACTGTCCCTTTAATTCTAGTCTTTCTGTGCCCTTTGTCATACAATTTATTTGTAATTTGAAGTTACCTTTATCTAGAATTTGTTTCATGTAGTTCAGCTTTTTTTCCATGATTTTCCATGGCGGTGATTGGATTGTCAAATTGATATATAAATGGCCGATATATTCGAGGTCTTTCTTTGTGAATAGGAGGAGCTCACAGTGTGAAAACCGACCCTGTCCCCACTGATCTCTCTTCTGCGTTATGGAGGGTTCGTCTTTCATGTCATCGATTATAACCACCAAGTTACAGGCTCCTAAATATCACAAAAAGACATCATCGTTGATTAAAGCAATAATCACAGACACTATCAATAATTTCTTGTGCCTATTGTTCTACCTCATTTTTATTTGAAGAGAATGACATAATATTGATAACTTTTTAATCACCCTTTAACATTCCACCACTAGTGATGTCCCGAACGGTTCGCCGAACGGTTCGCCGAACGGTTCGCCGAACGGTTCGCCGCGGACGGTGAACATATGCGGTAAACTTTGACCCTGTACCCAGACACATTCCAGCCAATCAAAAGCAGACCCTCCCTCCCAGACCCTCCCACCTCCTGGACAGCATCCATTTTACATTCATTGTGAAGCTGCATTCTTAGTGAGCTGTCCAGGAGGTGGGAGGGTCTGGGAGGAAGGGTCTGCTTTTGATTGGCTGGAATGTGTCTGGGTACAGGGTCAAAGTTTACCGCATATGTTCACCGTCCGCGGCGAACCGTTCGGCGAACCGTTCGGGACATCACTATCCACCACTTATTACAAAACATGCTTTTTGACCATCTAAGCAAACTGATTGGATAATCCATGGTTAACTAGTCCTCTTAGTTCCTGCGTGGGTGGTGGAGTAAATATTGCCATCATCGATCACTCTTTGCATCACGAACCCTGGATCTTTTTTTATGTTTATGTTATCTGTGTGAGTTTATTTACAATTTAATCTTAAACCCTGAATTTAGGCCAATCGTACACAGAGAATAGTATATTAGGAATATGCATCCATTTAATATTTTTGAATATACTTTTCAAATTATTTAGAACTTTTGCATAAACTTTTAAAATGATTTAATAATTAAATATATTGAAAAATCGATTAATATTTTGATATTTGGTGATATATTGATATATACTAAAACATTTTTGATATTTAAAAAAACAAACATTTGATTAGCTTAAAAAAATATTAAATAGGGGGGCGGGGCCGGACCGCCAAGCAGAGCAGACACATGGCACAACAGCTCCTGCTATTTTCAAGCAATTTGGTCCCAAAAACGCAACTTCTGGCGCTGAGTCACTACAGGCAACTGCACTATGAAGTGCTAGTACTGGGGAGCAGTCAGTGACCCGATTCTGGGCCCCCCTTTTGGGGAGAACACAGAGCTCTAAGACCAAGGCCTAGTCAAGCCTATCCAGATGGTGAGTAGGGTGGACGGCCGCCGCCCTGCTACCCTGCCTGGCTGCAATATGGGGGTCCCCTAACTTAATGGGGTGATGGCCCTGCTTCCCCCCCTCTGGGCCGGTGGGGGTCATCCCGGCCTACCCTGGGGCTCTAACCCGATTGGAGACTTCACTGTGGAGACATCACTCAAGATGGCGGCTGGGCCCGACCGGCGCGCTATGGAGAAAGAGGCCCCTCCTCGGGGCTCTTGGCGCTCACTGCGGGCTACTCAGGGAGAAATCATTTGAGCAACCTACCTATCCTGAGACCCGACCTGGAGTGCTCCAATCGACACCGAGGACCTTGAGTGGAGATCAGCTGACTGGCAAAGCGGCCCCAAAGGTATTTAGGCTGCAAGCTGGCACGGTCCTGTGAAGCCGAGTCACACGCACGATGGCCGCAGACCACTACGAAGACCCCACACATACCCAGCTCCCAAGTGCGACCGGCTGATACCACCCGACAAGCGACACCACAGCATCATTATTCGCAGATAGAGCTGAGAAAACACATGACTATGACCTGCCAGTGATGGGAGTTGGCTGCTCTCTGCACAGGGACTGGGGCTGCCTACTCTGTCTCCTGAACAACAATCAGGATCACATCCACCTCTCATCGGGGAGGGGAGTCTCTGTCCGGGGACCCAGGGTTCTTTAACCACGGTGGCATAAATTTTCCTTTTTCTTTTTTAAGCAACACTAACCATGCCATCTTGCCTAGCAAACCTGTCTCTCTCACAAAATCTATTGTAACTATGAGTTCAGTTTTAGCCTGCACTTCCACGTCTCCAGCCTGTCAATTTAACTAATATGGCTAAACAGATTTGAAATTAACCTACTCAGGCAAATATACCTGTACTGCATGTATACAATCTGTTAGCGTCTGACGCAGCACAGTAATGATACATTCAGATAGTGCAGCGATGTCACCTTATGTACCAAGCAAGTCTCAGCTATGTTCAGCTAGCATGTTAATCCCCATAGGCTGCAAGATTAACCAGTTTACTGTGTTACTAAATATTGAGACAGTTAGATCTTCTATGCAACCACGATCCAATGTTTAACCTCTAACATGTTTCCTATCTTGAATATAAAAAAACAAAATTGTGCTATGTATTTCAATGCCATACCTATGTTAATGTATGTTTCCGTACTTGCTTGCACCAGCTATTGTGGCAGTGCAAACATGATTGTTCACGCTATGCACAAATAAAATAAAGAATTTAAAAAATATATATATATATATTAAATAGAGGCCGTAATAGGATAATAAATGCTTCAAGGATTTTAAAGAGAAATTTTTCAGGAACTGACACCTACAGTTATAATGATACCTTTCAAGTTGATTCCAAACTAAATATGTGGAAACTATTCTGAAAATTGCATCTTTCTAAATGAAAGTATTTCAATTCTAGAGAAAGTAAATTCTGATGCAGTGATTATGGTACATGTGACTCCGTATTTACCCTGAAATAACTCTCACCATTTATGGATATACACAGGTCCAGGAATTTCTCAATGTCAGTTTGAAATCTGGGAGTCTGGTCACAGTAACAAATGATGAACAGAGACGTATTGATAATTTGCCTCCTTGCCTTCTCCCCATTGATGAGAAAGAGAGGCACACAGGTTACCACATCTATTCCTTGGATGGAGGAGTACATGGTCAGCTCGTTGTAGAGCCACGATAAGTCACTCTTTGCATTCCAGAAGCAGATTGTTACCTTCTTCTCTTTAACTCTAAACAACAAAACCCGAAAATACAAAATTTATGGTAAATAAAATGACCGGCACCACATTACAGACAAAGCATGTTTCATTTCTTGAGAAGATGCAAAGGGGCTAAATTACTACCTTAAAGGGCACAGCTCATTGTATTATTACAGCTTATTGTATACTTACAGCTTATTGTATTATTACAGCTCATTGTATACTTACAGCTTATTGTATTATTACAGCTCATTGTATACTTACAGCTTATTGTATTGTTACAGCTTATTGTGTTATTACAGCTCATTGTATTATTACAGCTCGATGTATTATTACAGCTCATTGTATTATTACAGCTTATTGTATTATTACAGCTTATTGTGTTATTACAGCTTATTGTATTATTACAGCTCGATGTATTATTACAGCTTCATTGTATTATTACAGCTTATTATGTTATTACAGCTTATTGTATTATTACAGCTCAATGTATTATTACAGCTCGTTGTATTATTACAGCTCGTTGTATTATTACAGCTCATTGTGTTATTACAGCTCATTGTATTATTACAGCTTATTGTATTATTACAGCTCATTGTATTATTACAGCTTATTGTATTATTACAGCTCGATGTATTATTACAGCTCATTGTATTATTACAGCTTATTGTGTTATTACAGCTTATTGTATTATTACAGCTCAATGTATTATTACAGCTCGTTGTATTATTACAGCTCATTGTGTTATTACAGCTTATTGTATTATTACAGCTCATTGTATTATTACAGCTTATTGTGTTATTACAGCTCGATGTATTATTACAGCTCATTGTATTATTACAGCTCGATGTATTATTACAGCTCATTGTATTATTACAGCTTATTGTATTATTACAGCTCATTGTATTATTACAGCTCATTGTGTTATTACAGCTCATTGTATTATTACAGCTCGATGTATTATTACAGCTCAGTATGTTATTATAGCTCGTTGTATTATTTTCTTAGTTATCTTCCTGTAGCCACCAATGTCTTTCGATATTTGCTTTAGGAATATTTTCTATGTTGTTGGATTTTACAAATGGTAAACCAAGATGAGATTAAAGCACAGTTAGAAGGAGATATTTTACTTTGTCTGTCAACATTGGAAATGTGAATATTAGTAATATGGTCTGGCAAGTGGCAAACTTCCGCTGGGGTATTGCTGTATCCAAGAAAAGAAACAGAGAGGGAGGGAGGTGCGTGTTAATCAGATTATTTAACTTTATGGTGAGATCTCATTTCACTTCTTGTCATTCGAGGACTGACACATATCAATGAGCTGTGCTTGTATCTGAGTATGACTAACTATAAATTCATTCTGTTATTAATCACTGTGTCCTGTGTAGGAATGATCAGTGAATGAATGGTAAATATTGTATCATCTGCAGATATACTCACCCAGCACCTTCATTCCCTGGAGGATCAGTATGTGATATCTCTGTATCGCCTCCAGAGCTTGACGTCCCTGTATCCCCTGCTGTGTGTGTTGCTTCTTGTATTCCATCAGATGTTGATGTCTCTTTATTTAATGTATCTAGCTTCTCTGATTCCTTCCTTCCAAAACTTATACCATCTTCATCTAAGTCCATTAATGTGCCTGACTTCCGTTTACTCACTGCCCCTTGTTTGGCCAACTGCCCCCGTGTTTTCCGTATTACCCTTGCTCTCAATATTGCCAGTAAACCCAGATCTGCCTGATTTTTCATTTCAGCCAACTCAACCCTTGTTTCCCGTGTTGACATTGTTCGCCGTTTTCCCTTTTTACCTCGCATTACCCCCTTTTCCTTAGCACCCTGCACTGCCCCTATACCCTGTGCTGCCCCTATACCCTGCGCTGCATCTTCAGCCTGCGCTGCCCTTATACCCTGCATTGGCCCTTTACCCTGTGCTGCCCCTATACCCTGCACTTCATTTGTACCCTGCATTGGCCCTTTACCCTGCGCTGCCCCTATACCCTTTGCTGCATCTACAGCCTGCGCTGCCCCTATACCCTGCACTGCATTTGTACCCTGCATTGCGTCTATACCCTGTACAGCCCCTATACCAGTCCCAGGATCGTCTTGCATGCTGTTGATCTCACACAGAACCCGCTGTGCAAAGTAATCACTGTCCCGGGAAGGAGATTATAAAATCCAGAATTCCATCTTCACCCTAGCTAAATCCATATGTTCAGTATAACCGTAACGGAATATTATCGTCTGCCCGTCCGTCCCTCAGAGATATTGAGTATTTGTTAGACACACAGGCAGGCTGTGTGTTTATTACATGCTCCAGGCAGGCTATTTGATGCACTTTGTCTCTGGTTGTTAATTCTATGACATGTCAATACCCCAGTCAGATAATTCCCATATCTCACTCTGACCCTTCATCATATACTTTTTATTATCCAGGAAGGAATTATTTCAGCTGGAGAGGAAAGTCCAGGGTTTATTCAAATCATAAGGGAGGATCCATTTACCTCTAGACATGTTATTGAACCCAGTCTGCCCTCCTGCCCTTTCCACAATTAGTCTAATTTGTTAAAGGTACACACCAAGCACACAATCAATGCAGTGCGTTGTAGTGGTTATTGGTGCCGGAAGTGCCCTTGCGCCCCCTCAGACATGGTAAGCAGTCAAACCATTTTGGATTTTTCTTCCTACCAGGGGTCCGCTGGGTACCTCTCCCCATCTCCACCACCTCATCCAGACAAAAAATCCTACGTAAGGGCCTTGTTAGCTCTCCTGTGTAAAACCCCAACTCATTGCTTGAGAGCGTCAGCTGATCACTCTCTTCCACCTGTCTTGCAGAGGTAGTGGAGACTGATGTGGCATCCAATGGACCTGAGCTACCAAGTGAAACTGTTCTAAAATTGTTTAAAACCTTCAAACGGGGGTTGCCAGTGCACTCCTGGCACCATAACCACTACAGCACGCTATAATAATTATGGTGCTTCGAGTGTTCCTTTATTATGAAAACAAAAACTCTTACTTGTCTGTCTTAAATTCACAGGAGTGTCCGACTGAACAAGGGCACCATGTGCAGGACTTTAATAAAAACACACAAACTAATGTAGAAGTATGTGCAGTTCAAATCATGGTCTGCTACAGCAAGGAATCGGCAAGTCTGCTGGTTACCTGCCGTCTTCCAATGGTCTGTCTGTATAACTAACTTCACCTCTATCAACGTCTGTGTCAGACTCAGACATCATGTCTGGTATTTGGATAAAGTCTTCTTCTTCCGACCCGTCTCTTACATACAGTGGGCGCATCTAAATGATGCACCCCCCTTTCGCTGTCCCTTTTTATGCCCCTTCTTTAAATATGTTTTAATCCTTTTCCTTTTTATCATTGTAAATATTGTCCTCAAATATTTAATACCCTATTATATGTACAGTTACAAATATTTATATAGCTCCATCCTATTCCGCAGCGTTGTACAATAGGTAAAGCAAGACACACATTGAATACTAACAAAACACTATTGTCATACAGGAACAGTGGGTGAATAAAAGTCTGCTTAAACAAACTTTCGATTGCTACGTATACTGTAAATATAGCGTCACATAGTTTGCATACGTTCTCTGAGTAAGCGCTTGTATAAAGCGTAAACTGACACATAAGCTGAAAGCTAGGGTGATATGTTACCTAAATAATGAAAAATAGAAATGAGTAAAAGGTTACAAAAACATTGAATTAATAAAAATATAAACATATCTGAAAGGTACAAGCGGAATTAATGTTCCTCACTGGAATTGGATGAACCCTAACGGTGCAGTTAGAAAGTATTTTTTTATTGTTGTAGTTGAATATACGGCTGTATCTGCTAGTTGCAGACGCCAAGATAATCAAAGACACAGCATTGAAAGCTGGCCAAGAATGGGGTCATGGACTCAGTTATATAATGCCATTGGTGATCACTTCCAAACAAGGTTTAATCGTATGTAGAAATAGAAAAGTACACTATTTACATTTCAATTATTGTCATTTTCGGCCCCCCTTCTGGAGTCTAGTTCCCAGTCTTCTCATTTCAGACACCTCTCTCTCTCCCGATTAGATTCCTGTCCTTACGTTTTAATTGACAAGTTAAGTAGCCGTCCTTTGTTCTCGGGGGTGGCCGCCATTCGACAAACGAACACGTGGCGGCGGCCATTTTAAAACTCCCGAACAGCGGTGGTTTGCCGTCGAGTGTCTGGAACTCAAATCGGACACTCGACTAGGCGAAAACCCTGCTGAAACCTCCACAAGCCCTGTCCGTTCGGTTCCTAACTACCGAACGGCCCCTCGTTCGGTTCTTTCTATCTACCGAACGAGGTAGATAGCTGGAAATTAGTAGGATTTCTGATATAACTGTATCACATCTTATTGAAATATCAGCGCTGGTACGTTTACCTGTTTTCTAGAACCCTCCCTAGCCTCTATAGCTAGAGGCTTTCGTGCAGTTTGTTCCCTTATTCCAGGACCGACCGCAGAGCCCATTTGCATGGAACCGCATTCGGCTGTCTCAGTCAGTGCGGTCGGTCATTTTATTCCCTCCATAAATTTCCCGAACCCCTGGTCTGATCTGGGTGATTTTTGGATATGTTGTTCACCCAGATCAGGGCTATCAGGGGGTGTAGGATTTAAAGGGGTACCCCTATGTTTAGGGGTACATCCAGAAACGGGGGGAATTGCTAGACTGGATAAGGGGATTATGATGCAGGCTGAGGGGAGGAGATGTGTGGGAGGTTACCAGGACAGGATTGGCTACTGTATTAATGATTGTAAATCCCTCCCTTGCATGGGAGCATGCTTTAAAAGGACAGTGTGGATTAAAAGCTTTCAGTTCTGCTCCTGAAACTGTGTGTCGTCCAGTTATTGGGATTGCTGTGGGATATTGCCGTTATTTTACCTGCTGGAAACCTTGCCTGTGGATTTACTATTTACTCGTTCCTGAGCCTCACTTGGATTATAAGCGGAGATAACCTGGGGAATATTGCATCTCCGCAGTGTGCGGGAGGTCGTTCCATAATTGCGGCGCTATGTAGGAAAAGGAGGATCAGGACGCTTTCTTTTTGTATTGCGGTAGACTAAATAAAGTGCTGGTACTGAATAGGATGTTATAGGAGGTGGGAACAGCCGGGGCGAGCATTCTGCTCAGGTAGGGTGAGAGCTTCCCAGAAAGGCTCTTAAACACAAGGCTGGAAAGATGAAGGGTGCGTCTGGATTCTAGCGACAGCCAGTTTAGTTCTTTTAGCATGTCACAATGATGGGTCCTGTAATTACATTGTAGCACAAAGTGGCAGAACGAGTTATACAATGTATTGAGTTTATTAATGTGGGTTTGCGGTGCAGGTGCATATACTACATCCCCATAATGTAGTTGTAAGGCTAAACTACTGGAACGCAACTGCAGAAAAACTTTTAATTACAACAATTTATAATTTTATTCTTTTTTTTTGTTATTGAGTTGCAGGAGTGGTTACTGTAGCTTTAAACCCTTATAGCAGGTTGTTAGTTGCAGGAAAAAAATAAGCCACTGAAGTTTTGCACAAGCCAAGCAGTCCCAATTAAGGATAGTGCAGAGATTGCATGCAGAATTAGGTTGAATTAAATGCAGTAGAATTAGCTTTAGGAGAGTCTAATAATGAGGCAGATTCTTATTTGCAACTGAGAGCAGTTGGATTGAAGGAAAAAGTACCTAGCTTAGAGGCAGTTTCTTATTTGCAACTGAGAGCAATTGGATTGAAGGAAAAGTACTTAGCTTAGAGGCAGTTCCCGGTAACTGGAGAGTTCAAATTAATTAGTTCCTTAGGGGAAGGAGCAGAAGTCCGTATAACAATCCGAGGTCGAGGAGTGGAGAAGGAGGGTAGTCGTTTCCAGAGCGGTTTTCGGTACACGGAGGAGCTTCAATTGAAATTGAGTAGCCGGTAAGAGGTTCACAGGCACTTGTTCAATAATCCAGCAACTTGAATCTGGCGTGGGGAGACCGCATCAGAGAAGGGGCGGGGCAGAGCTCCGTCAACCCGGAAGTCGCTTAATTTGGCGAAATCGGCAGATATAACCTGACAGTACCCCCTTCCTATGGAACACCCCCTGGGTGTACTTCACCTTGGTTTGGAGGGGTAGCGCCTGTGGAACGCAGCAACCAATCTATCTGCATGAACAACAGATGAATCTTCCCAAGTGTCTTCATCAACCCCATAACCTTTCCATCTAATAAGGTATTGCAGGGAGCCACGCCAGATTCGTGAATCCAAAATCTTTTGTACTTCGTATTCATCTTCACCGTGAACAATGATAGGTTCAGGAGAGGTCACCACTTCCCTATTGAAAGGGTCAGGTGGTTTAAGTAGAGAGACATGGAATACTGGATGAAGTTTGACATTTGGAGGAAGTTTTAGCTTAACAACATTGTCGTTGATTACTGCTAATATTTGAAAAGGCCCAAGGAAGAGAGAGCTCAGTTTTTTTTGAGGGGCGATTGGTGGCTATATTCCTTGAAGAGAGCCAGACAAGAATACCTATTTTGTAGTTAGGAGGAATTTTTCTTTTAGTGTCAAAAAACTTTTTCTGATTACTTAAAGCAAGTTGAAGATTCTCCCGTAACTTGTGAAATAGGGAGGACATAAACTCGTTCCGGGATGAAACAGTAGGATTAGATGAAGCAATGGTCTGGATGGGAAATGAAGATGGATGGAACCCATAGTTCGAGAAGAAGGGAGTCATTTTCGTACTGGTGTGAATAGAGATGTTATAAGAAAATTCAGCCATAGGTAGCCATG